TTATTGGAAAGGCAAAGAAACAGATCTTCCTTCAGCTGGTTCACTCCCCAAATGCCCAAGGCAGCTGGGGCTGGGCCAGGCTGAAGCCAGGAGCCTGGAGCTCCAGCCAGGTCCCCCACACGGGTGGCAGGGGGCCAGGTGCCTGAGTCCTCACCAGCTGCTTCCCAGGTGGGCATGAGCAGGACGTGGGCCTGCAGCGGAGCCTTCCAGGGCTCCCCGGGGGCAGCTCAATGCCCAGCCCTGAACATTTAGCTTGGAGTGCCTGCCATGCATCTGACAAACCTGGCCTGGCTGCTGGCGTTACTAATCTCCCAGCATATGCTTTGGGAGCAGCTGCAGGGCTGAGACATGTTCAAGATGTCAGACTGGAAGGTGCATTTTCCAGTTTGCAAATCTATAGGGATATGGATGAGTAAGCTTAAAAATCACAATGTACGATGGCATTCTTCAAACCTGGATGGTGTTCAACCTTGTAGGTTGGAAAGAAATCTCAGACTCTTACTCTTTTTTTTTTTTTTAAAGATTTATCTCACCTACCCACAAGGCAGAGTTACAGAGAGAAAGACAGAGAGAGAGGGAGGCATAGAGATATCTTTTATCCACTGATTCACTCCCCGAATGGCAGGAGCCAGGCCAGGCCACAGCCAGGAGCCAGGAGCTTCATCTGGGTCTCTCCTGTGGGTGCAGGGGCCCAAGGACTTGGGCCATCCTCTGCTGCTTTCCCAGGCGCATAAGCAGGAATGGAGGATCAGAAGTGGAGCTGCTGGGACTCGAACCGGCACCCATGTGGGATGCCAGCACTGCAGGCGGAGGCTTAGCCTTCTAAGCCACGGCAATGGCCGGATTCAATTCTTAAAACAAACAAAAAAAAAAGAGGGGCCGGCACTGTGGCGCAATGGGTTAACACCCTGGCCTGAAGCACCATCATCCCATACTGGTGCCGGTTTGAGACCCGGCTGCTCCACTTCTGATCCAGCTCTCTGCTATGGCCTGGGAAAGCAGTAGAAATGGTCCAAGTACTTGGGCCCCTACACCCGTGTGGGAGACCCAGAAGCTCCTGGCTCCCGGCTTTGGATCAGCACAACTCCAGCTGTTGCGGCCAACTGGGAAGTGAGCCATCGGATGGAAGACCTCTCTTTTTCTCTCTCTGCTGCTCCTCTCTCTGTATAACTCTGACTTTCAAATAAATAAATAAATCTTTAAAAGAACACACTTTTTTGGCACATAAGGTCCCAGTGTGGCAGAGGTGGGGGGAAACAAGTCTTTCTGAAATCATTTTAGATGCAGAAAAAAAGTTTTAAATATGCTACGGAGGGGTGGTGTTGTGTTGCTGTGTGGACACCTTGTCCACCTGAGAGTGAGCAGGACTGAGCCCTGCCTCCGCTGGGAGGCTGCAGATGCCGGACAAGTACTGGGCCCATGCCACCAGGTGGAGCGCCCAGCGCCCACCTGCAGCCCAGCCACGCCCTGATGCAGGCATTTGGAGCAGTGAACCAGCGCTTGGGAAATCTTTCTCTCCTGCTCTGCCTTTCAATAAATGAAGACAAATAAACTTATAAAAAATACACCACAGAGTTCCCATTTACCTTCTACTCAGCTCTTCCTACTGCTAATGTCATCCATAACCTCGGCATATTTATCAAAAATAACACATGAGTGCTGGCATAAGGGTACTAGCAAAACCACAGGTTCTACTCAGATAATCACCAGTTTCTCTGCTATTGCCCCTTCCTGTTTCGGGATCCAACCCAGGACACTGTGTTACATTCCAGAATTAAATCTTTTTTTAAGTTAACTTTTTAATATGCTATTTAAACATGTACAACTGTAAACCTAGCTCTAAAATGTATTATGCTGGAGGCTGATGCTGTGGCGCAGTGGGTTGAGCCACTGCTGGTCATGTAGGCATCCCATACAGGAGCACTGGTTCTAGTCCCAGCTGCTCCACTTCTGACCCAGCTCCTGCTCACTCACCTGGGAGGTAGCAGCAGACGGCCCAAGAGCTTGGGTCCCTGCACCCATGTGGGAGACCCTGATGGAGTTCCTGACGCCTGGCCCAGCCCTGGAGGGAGGAGATGGAGAACTCTCTCTGTCTCTCCCTTTCTATCACTGTGTCTTTGAAATAAATAAATCTTTAGAAAAATTTACTATGCTTTTAGTTCTTATATTACTATAAACCACAAATCTTTGTGCATTAATTTCAAGCAAAACTTTAAAACTTCACGATTTGGGGCCAGCACTGTGGTGCAGTGGGTAGTCGCCATCTGCAGTGCCAGCATCCTATATGGCGCCGGGTCTCCCCAGCTGCTCCACCTCTGATCCAGCTCTCTGCTATGACCTGCGAAGACAGTGGAGGATGGCCCAAGTCTTTGGGCCCCTGCACCCACGTGGGAGACCCAGAAGAAACTCCTGGCTTCTGGCTTCGGATCAGCACAGCTCCAGCTATTGCAGTCATCTGGGGAGTGAACCAGCAGATGGAAGACCTCTCTCTCTCTCTGCCTCTGCCTCTCTGTAACTCTGCCTTTCAAATAAATAAACAAATGTTTATTTAAAAAAAGCTTCACGATTTAATACGAGGTGTCACTTGTTTGGAGGCAAATCGACTGCCTCTCTACCAACAGAATAGATGGCGCCACCGCAGTGAGTTATTTTGCTCCCCCACCTGTCCACGATCAGGCCCCGGGATGATCTAACTGCCCCATCCCTGACTTCAGTTTGGTCGGCTGCAGAACGGCTTTTGCACAGCGGGCCATGACATCGCGTGACTTCCACCCAGCACAGGCGTGTCCCACGGTGCAGTGTCCTGTTGATCCCCCCACCCCAGAGCCAGAGCCATTGCCGTGGAGGCATCCGTGAGCTGGAGACTTTAACACGGGCTGGGCCCTGTAAAAGGGGCCGCGCGTCTCATGTGGCCAGTAAGCGCTGGCTGCTGAGAAAACAAAGCAGAAAACCCCCAAGGGTACCTTGAGGATGGAACTGTGAGCCCCAGTTTACGAAATGGTTGCGAGCGGATTACACACAACCAGGCATCGGGGAGACGACACAGGTGCAGGAGGGTCCGCAGGTGCCAGAAGCAGCTGGAAGGCGGGCACTGTGGTGCAGTGGCTCAAGCTGACCCTTGTGTGGCTCGCATCCTGTTTGAGTGCCTGGCGTTGAGTCCTGCCTCCGCCTCCGACCCCGCTTCCTGATAATGGCCTGGGAGGAGGGGGAGACAGCCTGGGCCAGCCGCAGCTGCTGTGGGCATTTGTGGAGCGAAGCGGCAGATGGAGCTCTCTTCCTGCCTCCTCCCCTGTCACTCTTGCAAGTAAACAAAATAAATCATAAAACTTAAAAGAGGCAGGGAGGTCAGCTGGGAGTGTAATAATGCAAAAACAAGATTTAGAGCCTAGGCAGGAGTAATGAAACGCAAGGGTCTAAGGAGTCTGAGAATCAGAGGTGGGCGTGCGGTGCGCAGTTAGGCCAGGCTCGGACACCACACGGGAGCCTGGAGTCGAGTCCCACTGCAGCTTCTGATTCAGCTTCCGCTAACGACGCGCTGGGGCAGGCAGACGGCAGCTCCACTCCCTGAACCCCGCGGCCCACGGGAGACCAGGGTGAGTTGCAGGATGCTGGCTCAGCCTGCACAGCCTGCTGCTGAGGGCATTGGGAAGTGAACCAATGGATGGAAGAGCGTTCGCTCGCTCTCTCTTGCTCTTCAAAAAAAATTTTTTTTTAAGTTTTTATTTACTTGAGTTACAGATAGAGGGAGAGACAGACAAAGGTCTTCCATCTGCTGGTTCACTCCCCAAATGGCCACAGTGGCTGGGGCTTTGCCAATCCGAAGCCAGGAGCCAGGAGCTTCTTTCAGGTCTCCCACATGGGTGCAGGGGCCCAAGGACTTGGGCCATCTTCCACTGCTTTCCCAGGTCACAGCAGAGAGCTGGATCAGAAGTGGAGCAGCCGGAACTACAACCAGCACCCATATGGGACGCCAGTGCTGTGGGCGGAGGCTTAGCCCACCATGCCACAGCGCCAGGCCCTCAAAATTTGGGGGGGGGGGGCACTGTGGCATAGATTAAGCCTCTGCCTGCAATGCCAGCATCCATATAGGAACTGGTTCCAGTCCGGGCTGCTCCTCTTCCGACCCAGCTCTCTGCTGTGGCCTGGGACAGCAGCAGAAGATGGCCCAAGTCCTTGGGCCCCTGCACCCGCGTGTGAGACCCGGAAGAAGCTCCTGGCTCCAGGTCAGCCCAGCTCCGGCCACTGCGGCTTTTTGGGGAGTGAACCAACGATGGAAGATCTCTCTAACTGCCTTTCAAATACATACATCTTAAATTTCTTTTTTTTTTCCCAGAGGTAGAAATGTCAAGTCTAGCCACGTGGGCAGAAGAGGCGGCAATGGCCCGAGGTTCTTGTCTAGGTGACTGCGAAGACGGCAAAGCTCTTCCCCAAGAAAAACAGCGCGGAATACTGGGAGTGCTTAGTTAGGGGATTAGGCAAGCAGTACTTGGCTCAGCACCGTAAGCAGGCGCGGTGGGAGTGAGACAGGCAGGGACTGGGGTCTGGGGCCGGGGAAGCCTCCATTTTTCGAAGAAATAGGACAGAAATGGAGCACCCCGGGCCATCGCAGCAGCTCTCGCCGACCCGAGAGCGAGGTCGGGTCCCGGGTAACGGAGCGATGCGGGGACGCCGACGCCCGCGCGTCTGCCAGCGGCTGTCCGTCACGGCGGCCACACCCGTCCCCGGAGACCCCGGGCGCCAGCCCCTCCCCGATCGTCACCCCTCCCTCGCGACCTCCCTCATTAGTGAGTGAAAGCCAAACGAGCCAGGCGACACCCCGTTTTTAATGAAGCCATTTTTAAGCGCAGTTATTTCTAAAGCAAAGCTGCAGAAACACTGACAGAGACCACACTTCCCGCCACTCGCGACGCTGAGCGCAGGGGCGCGGCCGCCGCCTCACCAGGGCGCCCCAGCTCTCCCGCCGGCTCCGCCGCCTCGCTTCTTCCGGCGACCGGAAGTGCGTCATCATCCGGCGCCCGCCGCCGCACGCCGCGCTGTGCCGGGCCTGGGAGTCGGATGCTGAAGCGTGCCGGTGGGAGGGGACCGGGCGCGGCGACTGAGATCGCTGCCTCTCGCCGTCACCATGCAAGTGTCCAGCCTTAACGAGGTGAAGATTTACAGCCTGAGCTGCGGCAAGTCTCTTCCTGAGGTGAGTCGGGGCCGTCCCGGCTGCCCGGAGGCGAGTGACGGCGCGCTGGGGCCCAGGCTGGAGGGCGCCGGCACCGGCATCAGCGCCCAGTCTCTGGAGCGGAGGCCAAGTCGGCTTGGGCATGGGTGGCGGTGCCGCCAGGAAAACGTGGACGGGTACCTGGCCGGCTGCGTGCCGGTGCCCGTCCGCCCGCGGGTCGTGGTCCTCGCGCGTGGGCCGGGTACGGCAGTGGGCGGTGGAGACGCGGGCCTCGCAGGTGCACGGTCGGCAGCGGCGGACGCCTTTCCCCGCCTGCGGGACTCGCCTGGCCCCGCGGTCTAAGTGCGTGGTTCTGTCCCAGTCTTCTCGTCTGTAGATCTTTCTGGGATCCAGAAAGAGGTCGGGGCGGGGAGGGGGCAGCCCTCCAGGGCCCTCCAGGGATATCTGCGGGCAGGTGATGAGAGTCTTCGCCTCTTCTCCGCATTCCCGGTGTCAGGAATGGCACGTCTCCCGCGTCTTCTCATTCGTCACTCCCTCGTTCTGTGCACGCTCCTGAGAAGCTAAGCTGTGCAGGCGGCCCCGTCGTAAGTGCGGCATCCGGAGCGCATGTGTCACGGGGGGAAAGGATGATGGAGAGTGAGTGAGCGGGCGGGGTACAGCGTCAGCGCTCGGCGTGGGGCGGTCTGGAGGTGTAGCAGGTGCAGCGCCACTTGGGCTGCCTGGCGCGCTGTGCGCGAGTGCCAGCCCAGCTTCCTGCCAGTGCCTGGGGCAGCACAGAGGATGGCCCACGTCGTTTCTTTGAAAGAGAGCTTCCATCCGCTGGTTCACTGCCCAGCAGGCGGCTCCTGGCTTCAGCCTGGCCCCGCCTGGAGTATTGTGGGCATTTGGGGAGTGCACCAGTGAATGGGAGATCTCGCTCTCGCTCGCTCTCTCTCCATCACTCCGCCTTTCGTCTGGGCTGACCCTCAGGCTCCTTTGTCCCGTGCCATGCTGCCTGCTTGTCCGTTTGTGGGACAGCTCCCGGCCGGGCCTCGCTCCCCACCTGTGCCGGGTCAGGGATTCTGGCCCTCCCAGGTCCCGGCCCCCTCTCTGCCCCCTACGTAGGACCCTGTTCCCGGAAGGGCCGCCCCTTCCTTGAGTAGCTCCCTCAGAACGCTGGATGCTGGTCGGGGCGGGAGCCGTGGCGTAGACCTTCCTGCTGCCACAGGCTGATGCACCCGGATACACGTGTGCCTGGGAAGTCCCCCAGCTTCCCCGGGAGCTGAACACGAGTGCCAGGGAGCCAGAGGCACGCCGGGCTGAGGGCGATGGCCGGCTCCGGCTCTCCCGCCCTGTCCGGCGTGGACACCGCCGCGGCGCTCAGCTCGGGTCCCGAGTGTGTCCCAGAGGCCGGATGCCGCGGCCTGGCCCAGGTTCTGCATCGCGTCTGCTTTTAGAGATGGTGTCTGCTGAGTGGCGCGCTTGCTTCTCCTTGCTTCAGGGAGGGCTGAAGCCTTGCCGTTGGTGACGGTCTGGGGTGGCTGTCCCGCAGCGTGTGGCCTCTGTCCTCGGGGTGCGGGCATACCTCTAGTGACAGCCGAAAGCGTCCCAGGAGTTGCTGATGTCCTCTGGGAGGCGGACTGCCCCTGCTGAGACCCCCTGTTTCCGGTAGCCCTACTGACAAGTGCAGTGGAAGTGCCCCTTGCTAGACGGGGTGCAGGAGTACAGTCTGCCATCGGTGCCATCAGAGCACGGGACCGTAGAAGTACCCTTTCTTCATCAGTGTCAGCAATTTGACCAGTTATTTACCTGATTTCTGTATTGCTAGATGAAACTTTCGTCTTAATGCTTTCTTTCCTTTTGAAATTTCACTTAAATAGATTTGGCTGTTTATGTCTTAGCTGGAACGCACCATATATGAGGCTTATTGCTTTCCCTGGGTTGGTCAGGTGAATTAGTTTTCTCTTGTGTTAAACATGGTAGCTCAAAAAATTATTATTTAATAAGTGGAAGTATATTCAAGGAAAGAGATCCGGAAGATTTGGTAGCCGTCGGTTAGGATTATAGATTTTCATTTTCTAAGTTACATCCTCCTCTAGAGTTTGAATTTTTATATGAGCAGGTGCTGTTACTGCAGGCAGAAAGCAACCGAGGTAGAGTGTGTTAAAATCGTCTCTCTGTTTTCTCCAAGTGGCTTTCTGATCGGAAGAAGAGAGCGCTGCAGAAGAAGGATGTCGGTGAGTGTTGTCGGTGACCCACCCGTGCCACAGGGCCGCACACAGTGAGGCTTACAGAAGGCAGTGGAATCAGTACGGTGGAAATAAACCTGTTTGTCCTTTTCCTTCTTCTTCTTTTCTTAAGATTTATTTATTTACTTGAGAGGCATAGTTGTAGACAGAAAGAGGGAGAGACAGAGAGAGGTCTTCCATCTGCTGTTTCACTCTCCACATGGCCGCAATGGCTGGAGCAGAGCAGGTTGAAGCCAGGAGCCAGGAGCCTCTTCCTGGTCTACCACGTAGGTGCAGGGGCCCAAGCACTTGGGCCATCTTCCACTGCTTTCCCAGGCCACAGCAGAGAGCTGGACTGGAAGAGGAGCAGCTGGGACATAACCAGCGCCCCTATGGGGGACCCAGAAGGATCGTGATTGTCTCATTCTCATGTGCAGCAAAAGCTTTTTCTGTTGGTTGAATCCATTTGTCAGTTTTTGAGATATAGAGAATAAGCATTTTATCTTTGGACAAAGTAATTTTACATATTGGATATACAAATATGAGTATGAACAATAAAAAATCTTTGTAGAAGATTTTTTTTTAATTATTTATTTGGGGCCGGTGCTGTGACGTAGCAGGTGAAGCTGCCACCTGCAGTGCTGGCATTCCATATGGGCACCGGTTCAAGTCCCAGCTGCTCCACTTCTGATCCAGCTCTCTGCTATATCCTAGGAAAGCAGTGGAAGGTGGTCCAAGTCCTTGGGCCCCTGCACCCACATGGGAGACCTGGAGGAGGCTCCTGGCTCCTGCCTTCGGATTGGCTCAGCTCTGGCTGTTGCGGCCAATTAGGGAGTGAACCAGTGGATGGAAGACCTTTCTCTCTCTGTCTCTCTGCCTTTCCTTCTCTCTCTGTGTAACTCTGACTTTCAAATAAATAAATAAATCTTTATAAAAAAATTATTTATTTATCTATTTATTTGAGAGGCAGAGGCAGACCGACAGATGACAGAGAGCTGTCGTCCGCTGGTTCATTACCTAAATGCGTGCAGTAGCTGTGGCTGGGTCATTCTGGGAGCTAGGAACCCAGTCCAGGTCTCCCATGTTGGGACAGGAACCCACCTACTTGAGCCATCACCAGCATCCCACAGCGTGCATCAGCAGCAGCTGGTACTTGGACAGGAGCTGGGGCTTGAACCTGGACACTCTGACATGGGCTGCGGGCATTCTTGTCAGTGTCGGTGACTCATCCTCAGAGAGCATTTTGATTTAGGACTATAATGCCAGTTTGTAGTGTAAATCATTTTGGTGAACAGATCTTCATTTGAGTTTCTCCCTTGCAAGTTGTCATATAGAAAAGCAGATTTATCTTAGCTTGCTCTCTGAGATCCCAGCGCTAAATGCCTCAAGGCAAGTATCTTGGGAAGATGGCCTCTTTATGGTACTGAAGGTGGTCGGTTAAAAATCCAAGTCAGAGTACAACACAGAGCTGCTTCATTGCCGTTTAGATTCTTATTTCATCTGGTCACCCAGGTCCCATGTTCTCATGTGTAACAAAGCAGATTCAGACTGTGTACGGGAAAAACGTTGTTCATTGGTTGAGCATTCCTAATCGAAAATCCAGATGCTTTAAAATCGGAAGTTTTTTGCTGACTGACACCACTAGTGGTAAATTCCATACCTGGCTTCGAGTGATGGTTGCAGCCAAAACAGAAGCGCACTAAAAATATCACATAGAATTGCCTTCAGGAAGTGTGTATAAGGTGTGTGTGGGTGTACGTGAGACATATTTGAATTTCATGTTTAGACTTGGGTCCCATCCCTAAGGTACTTCATTATGTATATACAGATATTCTAAAATCCCAAAAAATCTGCAATTGGAAACACTTCTTTCTGGTCCCAAACTTTTCAATAAGAGATCCTGGACTTGTATAAGAAGACTTAGTTCTTGGCCTAACTGGGTAATGATAGTGGTTTTAAGAGATTTTTTTTTTTTTTTTGTATGAAGATTTTACTTATTTATTTGAGAGGTAGAGTTATAGACAGTCAGAGGGAGAGGGAGAGAGAGAGAGAGAGGGAGAGAAGGGTCTTCCATCTGCTGGTTCACTCCCCAAATGGCTGCAATGGAGGGAGCTGGGCCAATCCGAAGCCAGGAGCCTCTTCCTGGTCTCCCACATGGGTACAGGGGCCCAAGTACTTGGGCCATCCTCTGCTGCTTTCCCAGGCCATAGCAGAGAGCTGGATCGGAAGAGGAGCAGCCAGGACTGAAACCAGCACCCTATGGGATGCCGGCTCTGAGCCACAGCGCTGGCCCTGATAGTGGTTTTTTTTTTTTTTTTTTTTTTTTTTTTTTTTTTTTTTTTTTTTTTGACAGGCAGAGTGAGTGGAAGTGAGAGAGAGAGACAGAGAGAAAGGTCTTCCTTTGACGTTGGTTCACCCTCCAATGGCCGCCGCAGCCAGTGCACCACGCTGAACTGAAGCCAGGAGCCAGGTGCTTCTCCTGGTCTCCCATGGGGTGCAGGGCCCAAGGACTTGGGTCATCCTCCACTGTACTCCCAGGCCACAGCAGAGAGCTGGCCTGGAAGAGGGGCAACCTGGACAGAATCTGGCGCCCCGACCGGGACTAGAACCCGGTGTGCCGGCGCCATAGGCGGAGGATTAGCCTAGTGAGCCACGGCGCCGGCCCCTGATAGTGTTTTAATGTTTGTTCTGTTCGCTCCTTATCCAGATGTTAGAAGTAGATTTTCATACACTATTGTGGAATTGCTTTTAAATTGCAGTGATGCTTTTTCTTTTCTAAAAAGTAAAAATAAAATATTTCACTTAGAAAAATAATGTATGAGTTGAAAAAAAGACTTTTTTTTAAAAAAAAATTTCTTTATTTTAAAGACCGGGACAGACGCAGGCCTTCCATCTGTTAATTTACTCCCAGAAGCCCACAACAGCTGGGACTGGGCCAGGCCAAAACCAGGAGCTGCAACCCAACCTAGGTCTTTCACAGGGTGGTGGGGACCAAAGGGCTTGATCCACTTCCTGCTGCTTCCCAGGGTGTGCGCCAGCAGGAAGCTGGACTTGGAAGCAGAGCTGGGACCAAACAAACCCAGTCCCTCTGATTTGAGATGTGGGCCCTGAGTGACACCTTGGTGGTGGCACAGATGCCTGCACTGTCTTCTGTCTGAAGGGTGAGCTCTGGGCGTTCCGCGGACTGGGAAGCACTTGAGACGTGGCGTGCTGTGACCACTCTGCATGTTATATCTTTCTGTGATAAAGAGCAAGCATGCATTAGTTAAACTAATTATCCTTTCTTTCTTTCTTTTTTTTGTAGATGTCCGTAGAAGAATTGAACTTATTCAGGATTTTGAAATGCCTACCGTGTGTACCACTATCAAGGTGTCAAAAGATGGACAGTATATTTTAGCAACTGGTGAGCATCTTCTCGGTTATGATTTACGTACATTTTATAGAAGGAAATACTTTGGTGGGAAAGATCACTTCTCTTCCCCTGACATTTTATTATAAAAGATTCAGAAATATATAGATGTTGAAGAAATGTACCGTGAACACCACTTACCCAGTACCTAGGTTCTGCAGTAAGTGGTCACTGTACTTGCTTTGTCACGTGTCTGCATCCGTCCGCCTGGTTTTCTGATGCATTTCAGGACAAGTAGCAGATTTCAGCACACTGTATTTTACTCCTAATAGCTCAGCACGTGTGTCATTAACTAGAGTTAATGTTAGGGTTTTTAAAATATTTTTTATCTATTTATTTTTAAGATTTATTTTATATATTTGAAAGGCAGAGTTTCAGAGAGAGAGAGGAAGAGATCGAGGTCTTCCACCTGCTGGTTTGCTCCCCAAATGGCCGCAGTGACCCAGGCTGGGCTAGGCTGGAGGCAGGAGCTTCTTCCGGGTCTCGCATGTGGGTGCAGGGGCCCGAGCACTTGGGCCGTCCTCTGCTGCTTTCCCAGGCGCATTGGCAGGGAGTTGTATTGGAAGTGAAGCAGCTGGGACTCAGATTGAGAGAACTCCTGTGTGCCCTGCAGCTCTGTCTTGCTTTTCATCACGCGGACAAGTTGAGTCTGCTTCAGGACTTCCCTGTGTGTTCTGTGTGCACGAGACAGCACAGCTGGGGTTTTGTCGGTGCCTGGACTCGTCCCCGTTGCTCTGTGTGTCAGTGGCTTCCATCATGTGAATATGCCACAGCCTGCTCACCCGTCTCCATTTGATGTTCACCTGGGCTGTTTCCATTTTTTGCTTGTTAATAATAAAGCACTAAGCGCAGTCTTTTTGAAGTCAGTTTTGTGTGCATGTGCTCTGCTTGTCTTTGATAAATTCTTTGGAGTGGAATTGCTGGGTCATCGGTAGGTGCAGGTTTAGTCTTACAGGAAGCCAACAGGCCTGTTCCGAATTGATCCTAACACTGACAGTGCCACCAGCAGTGAATGAGGGCACAGGAAAGGTCACTTCTAACATGACTTTATGTATCAGGTTCTAATACGGAGATTTTGCATTAACAATATTAATCATGGTCAAAAACATCATGAAACACGGGAACTTTCAGCGTGTCACAGTGTTGAACTCAGCCAGCCTGGCTGGGCTTCCGGTGCCTGCGTCCCGTGCGTTGTCTGCACATTTGGCTGTAACAGCTTCCCCCTGTTTCGTTTCCACCACGTCTCTTGATCCCTTCCTGCATGTGTACGTGCATACACCTCAGGCTGGTGTTTTTTTCCAAAGATTTATTTATTTATTTGAAAGTCAGAGTTACACAGAGAGAGAAGGAGAGGCAGAGAGAGAGAGAGAGAGAGAAAGAGAGAGGTCCTCCATCCACTGGTTCACTTCCCAATTGGATGAAATGGCAGAGCCGAGACAATCCAAAGCCAGGAGCCAGGAGCTTCTTCCAGATCTCCCACGTGGTGCAGGGGCCCAAGTGCTTAGGCCATCTTCTGCTGCTTTCCCAGGCCATAGCAGAGAGCTGGAAGGGAAGTGGAGCAGTTGGGACCCGAACCAGCGCCCATATGGGATGCTGGCACTGCAGGTGGCAGGCTTTCCCTGCTGTGCCACAGCGCAGGCCCCCAGGCTGGTTTTTTCTGAGTTAATGGTTGTCTCTCCTGATACTGGCCTACAATTTTATGTTCAGAAACTTAATTTGTTTTGATCAAGAGATAACAAGTAGCTTGTCCAAGCTCACAGAGAGCTGGGAGACAGATTAGGTAAGAGGTTATATCTATTAAATTACGTTTTCTTTTATGAAATCATTTTACATTCCCTGGCAAAGTTAATTGTTTCCATTTCTACTTTTAAAACAATTATTTATAGGGGCAGGCATTGTGGTGTAGCAGGTTAAGGCATTGCCTGCCACGCTGGCATCACATATGGGCACTGGTTCCTGTCCCGGCTGCTCCACTTCTATTCCTCTCCCTGCTATGGCCTGGGAAAGCAGTGGAAGATGGCCCAAGTCCTTGGGCCCCTGCACCCACATGGGAAACCCAGAAATTCCTTATTGCTGGCTTCGGCCTAGCCCAGCTCTGGCCATTGTGGTCATTTGGGGAATGAACCAGTGGTTGGAAGATTCTCTCTCTCTCTCTTTCTCTGTCTCCCTGTTTCCATCTCCCCCAACCCCCAACTCTGCCTTTCAAAGAAATTGGTCATCTGCTGGCTTGGTCCCCTAATGCCTCCAGTGGGCAGGAGTTGGAACGCTATCCGGGTTTGTGCCCTCATTAGGTTTGTGATGGCCTACACGAGTGGCAGAAACCCCACCACGAGTGGCAGAAACCCCACCACGGGAGCCGTCACTGCTGCCTCCCAGGGTCTGCATTGGGAGGAAGCTGGAGTCAGGAGCTGGTGTCCAGGATCCAACCCAGGAGGAGCTCCACGTGGGGAGCGGGCGTCTCACCAGCATCTTAGCTGCTAGACCAATGCTTGCGCTGCCTTTCCTCTTATTCAGAATGCTTTTGTTCTGTTTGTTTTTTAAAGGTTTATTTTTATTTATTTGAAAATGTTGTAGAGAGAGGTAGAGCCAGAGAGAGAGAGAGAGAGGTCTTTTATCTGCTGGTTCACTCTCCAAATGACTGCAACGGCCAGAACTGAGCTGATCCAAAGCCAGGGGCCAGGAGCCTCCTCCAGGTCTCCCACGCGGGTGCAGGGGCCCAAGCACTTGGGCCATCTTCTGCTGTTTTCCCAGGCTGCAGCAGAGCTCTGGATCAGAAGTGGAGCAGCCGGGACTCGAACTGGCGCCCTATGGGATGCTGACACTGCTGGCTGGGGCTTTAACCTGCTGCGCCACAATGCCGGCCTCAACAATCCTTTGGTTTTATTTTTATTGTAAAAAGAAGTATTTCCTAAAGAATACGTGAAACATGGCTAGTGAGAATGTGGGACTGAACTTTAGATTTGATTTCATCTTCACGTTCATAGCCGTCCATGCTGGCTGCCGCGTGGAACAGCACGGGTGTGGTGGCCTTCTTGGCCAGTTCCAGAGGCCTCTCTGCTGCCGAGGGGAGGGGACCTGGTTGTCATTTGCTTCCCCATTTGATTCCCTGGCGGGTCTTCCTTTGATCTCTGTATCCGCCTTCCTCAGATTGCCTTTGGTGTTCCGGCCTCGTGGCTGCGAACCAGCGGAGTAAGATTGACTCGTAAAAGCCTTTCATGACCCGGGGGATGTGCTAAGGACTGACGCCCGGGAACTAACCGGGCTCGGGTTCCTGCTTGTGACCCTGCCACAGCCAGGTCTGTGCTCAGTGACACTGTTAGTCTGCACTGGCGCTTGTGGAAGAGGCGTGAGACATAGAGGGGCGACGTACGTTTCCAGCCACTTTCTTTTCTGACGGCCAGAGTGATACGTGCAAGCCTTTTAAATGATCAGAAGTAAGAGACAAAAGCAAACACGCTCCCAATTAAAAGGGAAAGTGGGCCCTGCATGTACACGTGGGAGTTTTATATAAGCTTGCAGTCTTTCAAATCATGTATGGAATGCTAGGATGGGTATCACACCACAGGTTACTGTTTTTTTGTTTTGTTTTGTTTTGTTTTGTTTTGTTTTGTTTTGTTTTGTTTTGTTTTGTTTTTTAAGTTTCTTTTCTTAAAATGAGATTTTGGGGCTTTGATCTGTGCCAGAAAACATGGGACCACTTCCTTCTTTTTAGGATGTCTTTATTTGTTTTTAAAATGACTTTTTCACCTGATCACAACGTGATAAACTTATACAAAATGGAAGCATCACAGAAATACGAAGGTGAGATGTGCAAGAGCAGCTGGCAGCGTTGGCATTGCTAACGCCGACTGCTGCGTGCAGAGGCCTCTTGTTTAGGGTGCCGACTTCGGGGTCGAGCGCCCGTTCTTCCGCGCTCGCCCGGTCTCTGCTCCCTTCCTCCCCCTTCCACTTGGCAGCTCCTGACAGGAGTGGCAGGCCTGCCTGTGCCCTGTGCCCTGAGCCCTGTGTGGACTGACCTCATTTCCCCGCGGTGGCCGTTTACCAATAGTGCTGCAGGGGGCGCTCTGTGTCTGTAAGTTACTGTAGACGGAGGCGCGTGGTCATCAGCTTCAGCGTGTGCTGGGCTGTCCTCTAGACGAGTTGTCGTGTACACTGATCAACTGCAGTGGACGAACATGCTTACTTCTTTATTTGTAAATGTTTGTTTATTTGTTTGGAAGGCAGTGCAACAGAGGGGGTGGGAACGAAGAGAGAGAGAGACCCTCCGTCCACTGGAACCCCATCGGAGTCTCCCATGTGGGTGTCAGGGCCAAGGGCCTGGGCCGTCGTCTGTTGCTTTCCCAGGTACCCTGAGAAGCTGGGTTGGAAGCAGAGCAGCCTGGACTTGAACTGGTGCTCTGATTTGGGGCGCCAGTGTCACAACCCACAGCACCAGTCCTGAAAGTACTTACTTTTAACCCTCCCAACACAGATATTAACTGTTTCCGTCTTGGCCATTCTGATGTGTAAGAAGTATTTCAGGGCGTGTGTTGTGGCATACTGGCTAAACTGCACTTGCAACCTCAGCGTCCCATCTCAGAGATCTGGTTCAAGTCCCAGCTGCTCTGCTTCCAGTCCGGCTCCCTGGGAAGGCAGTGGAAGACGACCAAGTACTTCGGCCCCTGCCATCGTGTGGGGGATGGGAGGTCTGGATGGAGTTCCGGCTCCGGGCTTTGGCCTGACCCGGAGCTGGTTGAGCAGCCATTTGGAGAGGGAACCGCTGGTGGAGGAGCTGGCTCCCTCTCTGTCTCTGCTGCCTGCTGTCTAAGTAGAGTTTGTAGAGGGTATTGCGTGTTGAATCTACTTTGATTAGACTCACTGGGAAGTCCATTAATTATCGTGTTTCCATCTTCTGGGCGCTCCTTGTTGATTTGTGTTCAGTTTCCCCGTGGGACATTTGGGAGGGGCTGCTTTCCTTTCCTTTCATTTGCTGTGATTAGTGCTGCCTACCCCTGAGTGGAGAGGGCACCCTCGCCAGCCGTCTGGGTGCTGACTGTGAAGTGTGTTTTTCAGTTTCTTGATTTTGCATCATGTAACTTTTTTTATAGGAACATATAAACCTCGGGTTCGCTGCTATGACACCTATCAGTTATCCTTGAAGTTTGAAAGGTGTTTGGATTCGGAAGGTAAGAGGCTAACACTGACTTGATGAAAATAGCTTAAAAAAAAAAAAAAAGACTTATTTAAAAGGCAGAGTAGCAAGGGAGGGAGGGAGAGAGAGATCGATCTATCGATTGATCTTCTATGTACTGATTCACTCCAAATGGCTGCAGTGACTAGGGCTGGGCCAGAGCAAAGCTAGGAGCCCGTATCTCCATTTGAACCTCTTGTGTGGGTGGCAGGGACCAGGAACTTAGGCCTCCATCATCTGCCGGTATTGCAGGCTCATTAGCAGGGAACCTGATTGGAGGTGGAGGGACTGGGACTTAGCCAGTGCTGTGAGTTGGGATGCAGGCCACAGAGGTGGCGACTTAACCCGTTGTGCCGCAACGCCCACCCCCAAGACGGCTCCTCGGTTTGTGTGCTTTTCTCATTTTTGATTTGTATGTTCGCTTTCGATGGTGAAATAGCAAATTATCACAACTGAGGGGCTGGAAACATCCCTTCAGTAGCTTGCAGCTCTGTAGGTCTTGGGTCTGCGCCGGCCCTTCTGGGTCCAGACCTGACCCTGGCGTCGGCCGGGTGCGGCTCTTCTGGAGACACTGGGTGAGAACCTGCTTCCCCGATCCTTCACGTGTCTGGCAGAACTCGGTGGTAGTGGCTGCAGGACTGGCGGTCCTGGGGTTTTGCAGCAGGCTCAGCTCCTGGAGGCCGCCTCGCTCCTCATCACGGCCTCGGGCCCTGCGTGTGCGGCTGGGCTACTGACTTCCCCTGCTGCTGCTGGCCAGAGGAAACGGCTTCTGAGCATTTCAGACACCCCCCCACCCCCGCCCCAGCTGCACACTGTAGCATTGTCCCAGGAGCGGCGTCCATGGAGCCTCGCAGGCCAAGGGGTTTACACGAGTACGCGTGCGTTTCTGGGTTTTGTTTTGTTTTGTTTTGTTTTTCTTCTTAATTTGAGAAACAGAGCCCTTGAACTCATTGGTCGACTCCCCAAATGCCTGCAGCAGCTGGGACTGGGCTGGGCCAGAACCAGGAGCTAGGAACTCGGTCCAGGTCTCCGATGTGGGTGGCAGGGACCCAGTGAGCACAGAGTATCTCTGCAGGTCTCCCTGCAGCCTCCCGGGGCCGCGTTAGCAGGAAGCTGACCTCAAAGCTGGAGGGAGCTCCCCCACAGGGCGTTCAGGCATCCTCTCGGCCTCCACGCCTGCCTCTGAACTTAGCTTTGAGCTCCATTTTCCATGAACAGTGTGGAGGTCCGTGCTAAAATCTTTGGCTATCGGGGGGGCAAGTTGAAATGAGGTAAGTTCAGGTGCTTTTGTCATTGGGCCTAGTGTGTGAAGGAAAAGTTAATAGGGAATGTGTCCCGTGGAAATAGGAGCACACTCTCCTAGCTTGTTTCACCCCTTGCTGTCTGAAGACAGTCGCATCTCTGTGTACCACTGTATAAAAATGGCTGTTTTCACTTTTAATTTTTGTTTAGCAGAACTGTGAAATAGTAAAGTTATTGTTTTTGTAAGCAACAATTTTTAATGTTCTTTAATGTAAACATTAGAAAGTCTTGAAAATTATTTTGTTTTGAGCATCTCAGAAAAACAGTAGCAAAGTTTAGAAGTCATTCTGTTTCATGACTTTGCCTCCCTTTTGCCAAAAATCTAGTTGAGTGGGTCTCTAATTGAAGTGATTTCTAGTTGAGGTGGTCTCTGGGTAAGGTGCTCTGTAGGTGAGGTGGTCTGTAGGTGAGGTGGTTTCTGGGTGAGGTGGTCTGTGGGTGAGGTGTCTGTGGGTGAGGTGTCTCTAGGTGGTCTCTAGGTGAGGTGTCTGTAGGTGAGGTGGTCTGTGGGTGAGGTGTCTAGGTGAGGTGGTCTGTGGGTGAGGTGTCTCTAGGTGAGGTCTTTAGGTGAGGTGGTCTCTAGGTGAGTTGTCTGTAGGTGAGGTGGTCTGTAGGTGAGGTGTCTGTAGGTGAGGTCTCTAGGTGAGGTGGTCTCTAGGTGAAGTGTCTGTAGGTGAGGTGATCTGTGGGTGAGGTGTCTGTAGGTGAGGTGGTCTGTAGGTGAGGTGGTCTGTGGGTGAGGTATCTCTAGGTGAGGTGGTCTCTAGGTAAGGTGGTCTGTGGGTGAGGTGGTCTCTAGGTGAGGTGTCTGTAGGTGAGGTGATCTGTGGGTGAGGTGGTCTGTGGGTGAGGTGATCTGTGGGTGAGGTGATCTGTGGGTGAGGTGTCTGTAGGTGAGGTGATCTGTAGGTGAGGTGTCTCTAGGTGAGGTGGTCTGTGGGTGAGGTGGTCTGTAAGTGAGGTGTCTGTGGGAGAGGTGGTCTGTAGGTGAGGTGTCTGTAGGTGAGGTCTCTAGGTGAGGTGGTCTCTAGGTGAAGTGTCTGTAGGTGAGGTGATCTGTGGGTGAGGTGTCTGTAGGTGAGGTGGTCTGTGGGTGAGGTGATCTGTGGGTGAGGTGTCTGTAGGTGAGGTGATCTGTAGGTGAGGTGTCTGTAGGTGAGGTGGTCTGTGGGTGAGGTGATCTGTAGGTGAGGTGTCTGTGGGTGAGGTGATCTGTAGGTGAGGTGTCTGTAGGTGAGGTGGTCTGTGGGTGAGGTGATCTGTAGGTGAGGTGTCTGTAGGTGAGGTGATCTGTAGGTGAGGTGTCTCTAGGTGAGGTGGTCTGTGGGTGAGGTGGTCTGTAAGTGAGGTGTCTGTGGGAGAGGTGGTCTGTAGGTGAGGTGTCTGTAGGTGAGGTCTCTAGGTGAGGTGGTCTCTAGGTGAAGTGTCTGTAGGTGAGGTGGTCTGTGGGTGAGGTGGTCTGTGAGTGAGGTGATCTGTGGGTGAGGTGATCTGTGGGTGAGGTGTCTGTAGGTGAGGTGATCTGTAGGTGAGGTGTCTGTAGGTGAGGTGGTCTGTGGGTGAGGTGATCTGTAGGTGAGGTGTCTGTGGGTGAGGTGTCTGTAGGCGAGGTGTCTGTAGGTGAGGTGGTCTCTAGGTGAGGTGGTCTGTAGGTGAGGTGTCTGTAGGTGAGGTGGTCTCTAGGTGAGGTGTCTGTAGTTAAGGTGTTGCCTAATTCAGGTGATATGCTTTTACTTCCCACTTGGTGTTTTGGGGGCACTGTGGCAATTTTGTTCTTATTTTATATAGGACAAAAATGAAAAAAATTGTATTCATCTTTACTTTCAACATTAATAATTGTATTTTTTTCATGTTTCTTTTTCAGTTGTCACCTTTGAGATTTTGTCTGATGACTATTCAAAGGTATGTACAGTAGTGTTGGTTTGTACTGGTTGTACTCAAGAAATGAGTGAGTGGAATTTATTTTGTAATAAGTAATGTTATGATAAATGGATTATATCATATGTAGTAATACATGACCTGTGATTTTCTACTGTTATATTTTTGATTTTTGGTTTGGTACATTTTTTTATTTATAAATAAATGGTGCCGGCCCCATCCTGTGTTTTGAGACATGTAGTTTTATAAGACGTTGTCTCTGAACACTGGTAAGTTTACCTTGCAGTATCACCCGCAGAGGTTGACGATGCCTTTGTAGCATGTTGAAGTTACGTTTATACCAGGTTTTCGGGCCCGTGTGATAACTGGGGATTATGAAAATGTGTTCCCCGGTGAGAGAGGAAGTGGCTCACTGGGGTCTCTGCAGTGCCCACGAATGAGGGGCGCGTCCGGCGCTTCAGTGAGAAGGGACACTCTGCAGACAGGCTGTCCGCGTGGAGTGGGGGCTGTGTCAGCACGCGTGGAGTGGCGCTGTGTCAGCACACGTGGAGTGGGGCTGTGTCAGCACGCGTGGAGTGGCGCTGTGTCAGCACGCGTGGAGTGGGGCTGTGTCAGCACGCGTGGCGTGGGGGCTGTATCAGCACGCGTGGAGTGGGGGCTGTGTTAGCACGTGTGGAGTGGGGGGCTGTGTCAGCACGCATGGTGTGGGGGCTGTGTCAGCATGTGTGGAGTGGGGGCTGTATCAGCACGCATGGAGTGGGGGCTGTGTCAGCACACGTGGAGTGGGGGGCTGTGTCAGCACGCGTGGAGTGGGGGCTGTGTCAGCACACGTGGAGTAGGGGGCTGTATCAGCACATGTGGAGTGGGGGCTGTGTCAGCACGCGTGGAGTGGGGGACTGTCAGCACACGTGGAGTGGGGGGCTGTGTCAGCACGTGTGGAGTGGGGGCTGTGTCAGCACGCGTGGAGTGGGGGGCTGTGTCAGGACGCGTGGAGTGGGGCTGTGTCAGCACGCATGGAGTAGCGCTGTGTCAGCACGCGTGGAGTGGGGGCTGTATCAGCACGCGTGGAGTGGGGGGCTGTGTCAGCACGCGTGGAGTGGGGGGCTGTGTCAGCACGCGTGGCATGGGGGGCTGTATCAGCACGCGTGGAGTGGGGGGCTGTGTCAGCACGTGTGGAGTGGGGGGCTGTGTCAGCACGTGTGGAGTGGGGGCTGTGTCAGCACACGTGGCGTGGAGGCTGTGTCAGCACGCGTGGCATGGGGGGCTGTGTCAGCACGCGTGGAGTGGGGCTGTGTCAGCACGCGTGGAGTGGCGCTGTGTCAGCACGCGTGGAGTGGGGCTGTGTCAGCACGCGTGGAGTGGGGGCTGTGTCAGCACGCGTGGAGTGGCGCTGTGTCAGCACGCGTGGCGTGGGCGCTGTGTCAGCACGGCGCAGGGTGCCCTGTGTTTAGAGGGGAGGTTGGGAGGGCAGAGGCTTTCTTCCTGTGCCACTTGCGGAGATGATGGGACAGACATTTACCTAGAAACCTGAGCCACCTGACTTTCTTGTTTCATTTTCAGATTGTCTTCCTACATAACGATAGATACATTGAATTTCACTCACAGTCAGGTTTTTACTACAAAACCCGAATACCAAAGTTCGGCAGAGATTTCTCCTACCACTATCCGTCCTGCGACCTGTACTTCGTGGGTGCGAGGTATTGACTCTAACCCCTGTCTGCGTTTCCTCCCACCGCCCCAACCCGCCAGCTTCTCTTCTTGAATTTCCTGTATATTTTCTTTCTGTTTTAATAAAAAGAAATGTGTGGTTATTGTAAAAAAAATAAAACTTAGAAAATAAGGAATAAGCAAATGAAAAAACCAATTTTCTACATATTCATGCAATTTATTGATTTATAAAGATTATTTATTTATTTGAAAGGCAGAGTGAGTGAATGAATTCACCCATCCGTTGGTTCATTCCCCAATGGCTGCGACCGCCGGGACTGGACCAGAGCAAAGCCAGGAGTCAGGAACTCCCTCTGGGTCTCCTGGGTGCAGGGCTCAAGCACCCGGGCACGGTCTGCTGCCTCCCGGGTCATTAGCAGGACACTGGATCGGAAGCAGAGCAGTCAGCACTGATACGGAACACGGGCGTCCCCAGCGTGGCTTAACCCGCTGCTCCGCAACGCTCCCTCTGACACCACTGGTTTGCTTAGTAAAATCTTTTCTGATTTTGGAAGTAGCCATGATAGTTACTCATCATAGTAGTTCGACCAGGAGATACTCATGAGAAATGCAAAAGCCAGGTCATGGCATATAGCCCGGTGCCACAGTTCATGAGACACACCACACGGTGTATGTATGTGTGTGTGTGTGTTCAAGTATTTTAATAAAAAGGGCCTAGAGGGGCTGGCACAGCGGGTTAACGCTCTGGCCTAAAGTGCCGGCATCCCATGTGGGCACCGGCTCAAGACCCAGCTGTTCCACTTCCGATCCAGCTCTCTGCTATGTCCTGGGAAAGCAGCAGAAGATGGCCCAAGTGCTTGGGCCCCTGTACCCGCGTGGGAGACCCAGAAGAAGCTCCTGGCTCCTGGCTTCGGATAGCGCAGCTCCAGCTGTTGTGGCCAGTTGGGGAGTGACCCAGTGGATGGAAGACTTCTCTCTCTCTGCCTTTCCTCTCTCTGTGTAACTCTGACTTTCAAATAGATGAGTAAATTTAAAAAAGTAAATAAATAAAAGGGGGTAGAGAGAGAAGAGGACAGAGAGCAGCAGGCAGACTAGAAAGAGCCCTGTCTGCTGTCTCACCCCTAGTGCTGGCAATAGCCAGGACTGGACAGGGCCAGAGAAGGGTCTGGAACTCTCGTTGTTCCAGTCTCCCTGTGGGCACTGGGGCCCAGCTACCGGAGCATTGTCTCCGCCTCCCAGAGTGCGTTCGTGGCAAGCTGGAGCCAGGAACTGAATGCGGCCTCTGGGGTGGGATGTGGGAGGCGGCTCTGGCGTGGGACGTGGGAGGCGGCTTCCAGCCCCAAGGCCACTCACCGTGTTGTGGTTTCTTAGTTTCCCAGATTTCTGTTTACTTCCTAAAACTCGCAGCTCTTGCCTTACCTGTGTTCCGTGTCCAGGTGAATTTCTTTCAGGACGTTTGTGATTTGGGTCACACGTGGCTATGGACTCTACTTAGGAAGGGTTGGGGGGCAGGCTTTCAGAAGGGGAGGACGCTGCCCGCCGGGCTTCTGCTCGCGATCTCTAGATTTGGAGGGGTGCGTAGGGGACCTCTAGGGCACTGCTGCTGGGATGTCGCGTCCATAGCCCGACTGCACGGTTTCCTAAGACTTAACTTTAAATGCTGCCTTTTCTATGACTATAAAACAATACACATTCATTCTAGAAAATTGGGAAAATAGAGCAAAGTATAGACAAGAGGCAGGCTTTGTGGTGCAGTGTCATGCCACTGCTTGTTACACCTCCACTTCCTGTCCAGCTGTCTGCTGTTGTGCTGCTGGGAGGCAGCAGGGGATGGCCCCAGAACCCGGGTCCCCGCCACCCACACGGGAGACCCAGATGGAGCCCCTGGCGCCTGGCTTTTTCCTGGCCCTCCCTCAGCTATTGTCATTTGGAAAGTGACCCAGCGATGGAAGCTCTCTCTCTGTCACTCTGCCTTTCAAATAAATAAACAAGTAATAAATCTTTTTACTAAAAGAAAATTATAAAGAAAAAGATATACCCATAATTGTGCCACCCAGAGGAAACCTTTAGGAGTGTTTATTTTTTTATTTTATTTGAAAGGCAGAGTTGGATTAGAGAGGGAGATCTTCTGTCCACTGGTTCACTCCCTGAATGGCCACAACAGCTGGAGCTGGGTTAATCCAAAGCCAGGAGCCAGGAGCTTCTTCCAGGTCCCCCACATGGGTGCAAGGCCCAGCACTTGGGCATCTTCCACTGCTTTCGCAGGTGCATTAGCAGGGAGGTGGGATGGAAGTGGAGCAGCTGGGACTTAAACCGGTGCCCCTGTGGGATGCTGGGCCGCAGGTGGTAGCTTGACCCACTACACCACAGCCTGGGGCCCTGTTATGTGTTATATTTCCTTCTACTCTTCTGTATGTGTACAGCTAGATAAATATTATATGTACTTTTGGATCTTGGATTCTGTATGTTATTTGTAAATAATATTCTACTTGATGGATTCGTATTATTTCCTTGGCAGATGAGTGTTTTAAATAAATTTTAAACCACTTTTTTAAGTAAGCTTTGTACATAAACAAATCCACAAATAAGATGGCTATTTTTAGACAGGATAATTTGTCAGTTTTATAGATATGTAGTGGCCGTTAGTGATCTGCATATGTCCATACCGTTTATACTTACGTAAGTAGATGAATGGAAAGTTCGTTCTAGCTTGCCTGCTGGTAACGTTTCCCTCGTCACTTCGCAGCTCTGAAGTGTACAGACTGAACCTGGAGCAAGGGCGGTACCTGAATCCTCTGCAGACGGACGCTGCGTGAGTATGGGTGCTGTTCTCACTTTGGCCAGGAGAGGGAGCCAGATGCTCACGTTGTGAAGCGGCCTGCTGCTCAACCTGGGTAAAGCAGGTGGACCTAGAACAGAGTTAATTCAGGTGTGTGAAGTTAATTGACACTGGATCATGGCAAAAGATAGGACTGGGACTAGGAGAGGGCAGGGGCGTGGGGGTGGGGGTGGGAGGGCGGGAACATGGGAAGAATTACTGTTCCTAAAGTTGTAATTCTGAAAGACATGCAAATGAATTTTTAAAAATTAAGAAAAAAAGAGTTTTTCTCCTTAAAAATTTACTGAAAGACAATGAGCTTAAACATTGTATGAAACTTACTTTTTAAAACAGCCCAGTTTATTATTTGCAGGGTTCTTTCAAGTTTCATTCATGATTTTGTTTGTGATATTTTCTCCTGTGGAGAAATTTTGAATTACCTTGTTTTGTTTTTCCTTTATCATGTTATGCTCCGTGCTTATGTTCTCTTCAAAGAGAAATTCTTTAGGACCAAACCCGTCTTTATCATCATCAGAATGGTTAATAGCAGTAACTTCCTTAGTAAAAACATTTACTATGTGCCAGGCATTCAGCCATTTTTAAACAAATTACTTGACAGGCAGAGAGACAGGAAGGGAGAGACACAGAGACAGAGACCTGCCATCTGCTGCTGGCGGTGCCTGGGGCTGTGCCAGGGGAAGCCAGGAGCCGGGAATTCACTGCAGCCTCCGGGGGAGGGGGAGGGGGCGGGAGCAGCCAAACCTCTGAGCAGTGACCTGCTGCTCCCGGGATTTGCTGTAGCAGGAAGCCAAGTCGGGAGCCAGGGCCAGGTGTTGGGCCCAGGTGCTCCCATGTGGGCTGTGGCTGTCCCGACCTGTGTCTTTTCTTTTCTTTTTTTTTTAAGATTTATTTATTTATTTGAAAGTCAGAGTTACACAGAGAGAGGAGAGGCAGAGAGAGAGAGAGAGGTCTTCCATCCACTGGTTCACTCCCCAGTTGGCCACAATGGCTGGAGCTGCGCCGATCCAAAGCCAGGAGCCAGGAGCTTCTTCCCAGTGTCCCACGAGGGTACAGGGGCCCAAGGTTTTGGGCCATCTTCTCCTGTTTTCCCAGGCCAAGCAGAGAGCTGGGTCAAAAGTGGAGTAGCCAGGACTCAAACCGGCACCCATATGGGATGTCGGCCCTGCAGGAAGCAGCTTTACCCACTGCACAGTGCTGGCCCCAGTTGTCTGCTCTTTAGTTACGTAATTTTCTGTTTGTGGTAGCAGCTGTTATCTCTGCACTGGAGACGCTGCCTCTCGACAGCGCTGAGGCCGGTGCAGTCGCTGTTTCGCGGCAACAAAGCCGGGCTCCGCCTGGTCAGGTTCCCCAGCTCGCTGTGGTCGGAGCCCGGGCACTGGTGCCAGACTGCATGCCTTCCTTCGCATAGCTGGGCTTGGCTGTCAAAGGCTGGCTGACGTCCCGTCCCCCGGAAGTGGGTGCTAGCTGGTGTTTTCTCCCCTCTGCGTTACCGTTTCAGGGAGAATAACGTCTGTGACATAAATTCCATGCACGGCTTGTTCGCCACAGGAACCATCGAGGTAAGCATCTGCTGACTGGTTGTTCACGCTTGCTTTGCAGCTGACAAGGAGCGGCAGTTTTACTTGGAGCTAGAGTTACTGGATTGCGTAGAGCAGGGTGGGCACACGGGTCCTCTGGATTGCATTCGCATTTTGCCCGGTTGTTGCTCTTGCCACACGGGACACGGCTGTTCTGTGCCTGCCGCGCACCACCGCCTGCTGTGCGAATGACTGGGCGGGCGCTGGCACCGGCCTCGGGACCTAGACTTGGAGGGATGGGGCTGGGCACAGCGCACCCGCACTGCCGCACGCAGCCACGTGGCTCCTCTGGGGACTGTCGTGGAGCGCTGGCTCTCGTCAGGCAGGGTGGCTGTGAACGCGTGGGTTCCCAGGCCGGCAGAACCTCCCGTGGCCACGCGGCAGAGGTGTGGCTGGGGAGCACATGAAGTGACCCGCGTGAAGGCAGCAGAATGGAGAGGCGGGCCGGGGACTTGTGCAGCCCACAGGGTGGCACTCGCGACGCCGTCCATGGTCCCCGCTGCCTGGCGGTGAGGGTCCTCACGCCTGCGGAGAGTCTTTCTCAGTTTGCACTGTTTATTTACGACAATGATGAGTACAGTACAACAAAAGTCCCGCATGCGAGTGAGAAGCACATAGTGCGGGGGTGTCCCCTGGCGCCCCCCGTCACCACATCGCACACTCCGGGTTGGCGCCGGATCCCTCGGGCGTGCTCCTGCCAACGCGCCAGCAGGCGTGCGTGCACAAGTATTGGTCTTCAAGTTTTTTCAAACGTGGGATGGCAGTTCTTCGTGCGCCCAGTGGTGTCACACACGAAGGTCACATCAGTGGCCGTCTCAGCCTTGCGTGGCCGTGGTAGGGTGCAGGTGCATTCCAGCTGTGCGGCTGCGGCGTCACTGGGGGGAGCTGAGGCCCTCTGTGGCGTTTGTAATCTGTTACCAGAGTGTCTGTGCGGCGCGTGGCTGTGCCGTGTGTCATAGTTTTCCACCTGGAAATAGTGTAGTTACAGCTACTCACAGTGCTAACTCGGTACTTTGACACTGATGAATCGGTTGCCTGATGTGCTGTGAGTCATTGAACCAGTTTTGTTTGGAGGAAATTGAGGCTTCTTTACCCAGATTGCTTTCATGTTAAGAGATGAAGATCTGAAATGGGGCCTGTGAGGCCGAGCTCACAGGAACGTGGAAAACCGTGTTGATTGCCGGGGTGATGAGCCCAGGAAGCATTTTCTTGGTAACCACGTGTCTTAGACTGCTCAGAGAAATATATTTTTTAAAAGGTTTATTTATGTATTTACTTGAAGGAGTTAAAGAGAGAAGAAGAGACACCATCCACTGGTTCAGTCCCCAAATGGCCACAATGGCTGAGGCTGGGCCAGGCTGAAGCCAGGAGCCAGGAGTTTCGTCTGGGTCTCCCACGTGGGTGCTGTCACCCACTTCTTTCCCAGGTGCATGAGCAGGGAGCTGGATCGAAGTGGGGCTCCATGGGTTGCCCACGTGGGACGCTGGCATCACAGGCGGCACGGAACCTGCCGTGCCACAGTGCCAGCCCTGCTGGGAAAATTTAAAAATAGGTTCCTAGAGAAAGTAGTTCTGGCCAGCGTCCTGAAGCAGTCTAGGGCAGAGTCAGGAAGAAGTTAGGGTGAGAAGGGCCTCCAGCCGCTGCCGTGAGACCAGCCGGGACGCGGAGGGGTGGGAAGGACTGGCCAGAGGCTGGGCTCTCCGATTCCCTCGCTGTTGAGGGCTTGCCACTTGATAGGCATAGTCGGAGCGCACTTGCAAACTTCATCTTGTGGTTTCCTTTTTTAAAGGTTTGTTTATTTATTTGAAAGCCAAAATTAACAGAGAGGGAGGGAGAGACAGAGAGGTTGAGGGAGAGGTCTTTCATCTGCTAGTTCACTCCCCAGTTTGCTGCAATGGCCAGGGCTGGGCCAGGCTGAAGCCAGGTGCTTCTTTGTGCCCTCCCATGTGGGTGCAGGAGCCCAAACGCCTGGCCGTGCTCCACTGCTTTCCCAGGCTCGTTATGAGGGAGCCGGATCGGAAGTAGACAGCTGAGACACGAACCAGCACCCACACAGGATGCCAGCGATGCAGGCAGTGGCTTTACCCGCTGCGCCACAACGCAGCCCCTTTTTTGAAAAAGTGGGGTCATACTGTTTTTTCAGACAGGTCACTTGTTGTGGATACGCTGTAGGTGCGTGTGTGCCCACAGCATCCTTTACAGCGTCCTTTTTGCTGGCAGAGATCTGTTAAGTGTGTGGCATGTGCGCATCCCTAAGCTGAAACCAGAAACCTTGAGCACGGCCGTGACGCCACAGTGGAAGATTCCAGCCACGAAGTGGTTTACCCCCGAGTTAATAAAGATACCACATAAAATTACCTTCAGGCTGTGTGTGTGTGAGTCCCATCCCCAAAACATCTCATTCTGAAGGTGCAGGTATTTCAAGATGTGAGACACTCCTGAATCTGATAACAGTCCTGACACCAAGCATCCGGAGGGGACACTGCCTGCGCCATGGCTTCGTCCTTGCTGTGTCGTTTGCAGCTGCCTTTTTGTTTTTTAAAAGTTCTCCCCAGCCTTTTATTAAAAAAAACAAACAAACAAACAAAAAAAAAACCTTTAGAATAAAGTCAGAAGCAGAGCTCGGTAAGCTCCCCTTGTACATCCTTTTTCTGTAAAAATATGTGTGCTCGTCAGAGATGTCTTTTAAAGCAATTGAAAATAAATTGCAAGTATGAAATTCCATTCCCAAGTACTTCAAAATGTGTTTCTTTTATTTGAAAGATTTTTTTATTTATTTGAAAGGCAGAGTTACAGAGAGAGACAAACAGATCATCCATCTGCTGTTTCACTCCCCAGAAGTCTGCAGCAGCGGGGAATGGGCCAGGCAGGAGCCAGGAGCGCCATCCGGGTCGTCCTTGTGGGTGGCAGAGGTTCAAGCCCTTGAGCCATCTTCTGCTGCTTTCCCAGGCTCAGTAACAGGGAGCTGGATCTGAGTGGCGCAGCTGGGCCTCCAGCCAGCACTCAGATGGGGTTCCAGTGTCACAGGTGGCGGCTTAGCCCACTAGGCTCAACACTGGCCCCTAAAATGTATTTCTTAAAGAAAATGACTTCACCTATAAAATCCTAATATCATTACTTTAAAATTTAATATTTATACAGTATATTAAATATTTAACATTGGCACAATAATATTTAATTCTCCCAGTTATTTCAAAATATCTTTTTTTTGAAAGGTCTATTTTATTTATTTGAAATACAGAGTTACAGAGAGAGGTACAGCCAGAGAGAGAGGTCTTCCATCCACTGATTGACTCCCCAAATGACAACAACGGCCAGAGCTGAGCTGATCTGAAGCCAGGAGCCAGGAGCTTCCTCTGGGTTTCCCATGGGGGTTCAGGGGCCCAAGCACTTGGGCCATCTTCTACTGCTTTCCCAGGCCACAGCAGAGAGCCGGATCGGAAGTGGAACAGCTGGTGTCCATAGGGGATGCCGGCACTGCAGGCTGGGGCTTTAACCCATTGCACCACAGCGCTGCCCCCTCACAGTATCTTTTAACTGTGCCCTCCTTCCCCTGTCTAATCCAGTTCCAGGATCATGCGTTGATTGCACTTTTTATTTTTGAGAGTGATGTTTTTTCTTTTGTTTTAATTAGAAAATCAAGTCATGGTAAAACAAAATTTACTTATTTTCATTTTTATTTGAAAGACATAGAGACAGAGATAGGGAGAGATACATATTCCATCCACTCGTTTTCTCCCTAAATGCCTGCAACAGGCGGGGCGGGGCCAGGCGGAAGTCAGGAGCCCAGAGCTCAGGTGGGTGCTGTGAGCGGGTACAGGGGCCCGGGGCCAGGGCCGCCATCCGCGCCCGCCACAACGCGCGGTAGCAGGAAACTGGAGCAGAAACAGTTAGCCGGGCTGTGCAGGCACGCGCATCTGGGGCGGGGACGTCCCCAGTGAGATTTAACCGGGCTAAACGGGAGTAGGGTGAAGGTGCGTGTTCATTCTCCGGAGGCAGCCCACGATAGTGAGGTGGATCTCGCGTCTGCGCACCTCCTGGAGCAGCCTGCGTTCACACTGGGTCTGCTTTGTCCAGGGCCGCGTGGAGTGCTGGGACCCCAGGACTCGGAGGAGAGTGGGCGTGTTGGACTGTGCGCTGAGCAGCGTCACCGCGGACTCCGAGTGAGTACGGCCAGCCCGCGCCCCGCGCCCCGCGCCCCGCGCCCCGCGCCCCGCGCCCCGCGCCCCGCGCCCCGCGCCCCGCGCCCCGCGCCCCGCGCCCCGCGCCCCGCGCCCCGCGCCCCGCGCCCCGCGCCCCGCGCCCCGCGCCCCGCGCCCGTCAGTAGGGAATCCAGACAGGGCGCTGCGGGGTGAGGCTTGAGACTCACAGCCAATGGTAGCTCCTGTGCTTACCTACTTTATATGGAAACTCTGTGTCTACGTAGAGTCTCCCGAAGAGCCCAAGCCAGAGACCTGTCGTCAGAGCCCTCCGTGGGCGCGGGATCGCTGCCTAGCGCCGGCTCTCAGTGAGCCCCTGTGCGGTCGGTGGTGCGGTCCGGCGGAGAGGTGTGCTTAAACTCTAGGGCGCAGGGGAGTCCGGCTTTGGCATTTTTCTCATTCCTGTGCCTGCCTGGGGATGAAGTCAGAGGCCCCGTCCCGCTCTGCCCCCATTCACCAGAGGCCCCTGCCATGGTAGCACAGGGCACAGGGGTGTCTGTCTCTCCCGGTCCCCGCCCCATTCACCAGAGGCCCCTGCCGCTTGGCACAGGGGCACAGGGGTCTCTGTCTCTGTCAGACCCTGGGCCTGGGGTTTACTTTGCTGCTGTCAGTTCGGAAATGCCTTTTCCCTGGGCTCTTGGCTTGTGGTTGCGGTTTTACCATCTGTGCCCTTTCGGGCTGGTCAGATGGCCACCTGTGCTCATGTCCGCTGCAGGGTGTGGTCTGTGGTGGCTGCTGTGAGCCCTCCGAGTGCTGCACTGTTTGGTGTGGTTTGCAGTTTCCTGGGGGAGAGGAGGATGCTTAGGTGCTTTTAAATAAAATGGGTTTATGTGAAGCCTCCTTGCCTAGAAAATAAACTAAGAGCACTGCATAAGAAAGAGACCTCTTCTCATTGCATGCATCCCTTTTATGGTGAGTAAAGAATACATTCAATTTTGTCATCTGTGTATTCCAACATTTAAGGTGAACTTAGGGACTGTTTTTCTCTGGCTATGTTTGATTTCATTAAGTAATACAACAAACAGCTTCATTCATCATGGTTTGCAGTATAGTTTATTAAACATTTAGGTTGGAAAATTCGCTTATTCTGTAGTTGGTAATAGATAATCCAGTGGAAGGTATGTGCCAATATTTTATGATTTTGGTGTAAAAGAAAGAATCAGAACCTTGAGTAGTTTTGGAGAAAAGGAAGCCTGGTGTGAGGTAAAGAGGCCCATTCCCTAGGGAGCAGAGGTGACTTTTCCTTTCTTTCTTTTTTTTTTTAAAGATTTATTTGAAAGAGAGAGGCAGAGGCAGAGAGAGAGGGAGGTCTTCCATCCACTGGTTCACCCCCCAGATGGTTGTGATGGCTGGAACTGGTCTGATCCGAAGCCAGGAGCTTCTTCCAGGTCTCCCACGTGGGTCCACAGGCTCAAGGACTTGGCCATCTTCTGCTTTCCCAGGCCCATTAGCAGGGAGCTGGATCAGAAGCGGAGCAGCTGGGACTCAAACTGGTGCCCATATGAGGTGCTGGCTAACCTACACCATGGCGCTGGCCCCTTTTCCTTTACTCATATTTTTTTTAAAGATTTATTTATTTATTTATTTGAAAGGTGGAGTTACAGAGAAGCAGAAGCGGGGGTGGGGGTGTGTGTGTGGAGAGGTCTTCCATATAGTGGTTCACTCCCCAGATGGCCCCAATGGCTGGCGCTGTGCCATTCCGAAGCCAGGAGCCAAGAACTTCCTTTGGGTCTCCCATGCAGGTGCAGAGGCCCAAAGACTTGGGCCATCCTCCACTGCTTTCCCAGATCATAGCAGAGAGCTGGATTGGCAGTAGGACAGCCGGGACTTGAACCAGACCCATATGGGATGCCGGCACTATAGGCGGTGGCTTTACCCACTGCGCCACAGTGCCAGCCCCTTCCTTTACTCTTTTTATTTTTTCCTCAATTAGGTCTTTTGTTCATTTACATTTATTATGCCATGGATTCATAAGGAGTGGGTTCCAGCAGCTCAGGCTCCTTTCCATCGGTTCTGACAAGGTGGCTTCCTGGGGGCGCAGGCTGGCGCTGTGGTTGAACCCGGGTGCCCTGCTCTTTGGCTGCCTTCTTTCTCTGATCGTTTTCCTTCACGTTTCAGGAAGCTGTCTCGGCTCTTAGAGTGCTCAGTGTGTTCAATACGCACATTATTCTCTTGGCAAGACTCTTGCCCTTCACTGGTTTGTCCACAACAGTGCCAACAGCATGCTGGGTAACATTGTAGACTCTTCCAGTTTTTCCATGGGGACATTTATGGGGCATTCCTTTTTGATCAGTACCCATTCCCTTGATGTCCACAATGTCACCTTTCTTGTAAATGCCCATGTATGTGGCCAAAGGCACAACTCCATGTTTTCTGAAAAGCCTGGAGAACAGGTACCGGCCACCTCGCCTCTTTCTTGTGTTCGTCATCTTGGCAAATTACTGGAAGATGGCAGCCCCAGCCGAAAGCTCCCTTGCTCTTAAACACTAGCTTATCTTTGACTTAGAATGAAAAGAGTTGGGTTGTGGTACAAGCTCCGTCATTAGTAAGCCTCATGTTGGGAGTGTTCTTTAAGGAAAATAGGCCAGCAGGTAGTGTTTGCAATCTATCTTTTATTTTTATTTTTATTTTTGACAGTCAGAGTGGACAGTGAGAGAGAGAGACAGAGAGAAAGGTCTTCCTTTGCCATTGGTTCACCCTCCAATGGCAGCCGCGGCCAGCGCGCTGCGGCTGGCGCACTGCATTGATCCGATGGCAGGAGCCAGGTGCTTCTCCTGGTCTCCCATGGGGTGCAGGGCCCAAGCACTTGGGCCATCCTCCACTGCACTCCCTGGCCACAGCAGAGAGCTGGCCTGGAAGAGGGGCAACCGGGACAAATCCCGCGCCCCAACCGGGACTAGAACCCGGTGTGCCGGCGCCACAAGGCAGAGGATTAGCCTAGTGAGCCGCGGCGCCGGCTTATTTGCAATATATCTTAGAGTGTTTCTATTTTAAATTTAGTGGTTATGATAGAAATAATATTGGAGTTATTTAAGGAAGGGTTGTAAAACAGTCTTAACTTTGGTCTTTAGAAACAGAGTATTTATTTAATCTGAATAGAATACTGATTCACAAACATTTTGAGTGGTCTCCTTTGTCCTTAAAGGTGGAACATTTCCAGTGGTTTTTGCTTATTTAAGAAGATCACTTTGTTATTTAGAAAAATGATTTATACTTAATATAAAGAAGATACTAGGAAGTGCCAAAAACACCAAAAAGAACACTTAAAAATGTAAAATGACCTCTGAGTGCGAGACAGGTGTAGCTTAAATCATCAGATCCCTGTTGGTACATGCAGGAGGGTCAAGGTTTCAGTGTTACATGTTCTCATACAGACCTCTGGTTAATTTCCTTAGGGAGAATACCCAAGCCTCAGACTTCTGAGTTAAACAGTGTGCATGTTTTTAGGGCATTTGGCACATGGCTAAATTGCCTTCCAGGAAGCCACCCACCACATGCTTATAGAACGCTCCTCCTCACCCCGCCCTCCTCGGCTCGTGGCATCTGCCCCAGCATCGTCACTGACGTGAGGGCGCGGGGAGAGTCTGGGGATGCTGGTGAGGTGACACCGGGTAGACTTCCGAGTATTTACCCTCATTAACTTCTGTAATGCGCTAGGTACTGTCACCGTACCTCTCCGTGGCACACACACTGTGCAGCCTGACAGTCGTGTTCAAGAGCGCACTTGTTGCTAGGGGAGGTGTTCTGTGCATGTCCCCAGTGGAAAAGCAGGCCAGTGGTTGCCTGTAGAGCTGAACACTTCTTGTAGGAAAACAGTGAACATGTAAGTGTAGGCAGAGGAACAAAGTCGGGGTATTTACCAAAATGTTGACTCATTTTTGATTGATTTTGTTGATTTAGTTTTGGGTGATTTTACTGATTTATTGTCACTTCTGTTAGGTAACAAAGTTCTGGAAGGCGGAGCCAGCACAGCAGGAGAAAGGGTGGGGGTGGGGGGCTGGCGTGGTCCCAGACTGGGACTGTCTGCCGAGAACCTGGAAACCTTTCAGAACTGGTGGGCTGGGTACAAAGTAAATGTGCAGCAGTCGATGGTTTTGGTATTTTTCAGCAAAATCCAGTTAGAAAAATAAGAGAAAAAGTGCTCACTTTTAGCAACAAATATTATAAAGGACTAAGCAATAAACTTCATACCTGTATGAAGAAAATAACAAATTTTATTAAAAAACAAAGTTTAAGTGGAGAAAATATATCACTATACTGGAGAATGATTTTTTTAAAAAGATTTATTTATTTACCTGAAAGAAGGAGTTACAGAGAGAAAGAGAGAGGAGACAGAGAGAGAGAGAGAGAGAGACAGAGAAAGGTCCTCTATCTACTGCTTCGCACCCCAAATGGCCCCAACAGCGGGGGCTGGGCCAGGTCGGTGCCAGAATGTTGGCCCCTGGGAACTGAGTCTCATGGGTTTTGGAGCGCAAAGGAGCACAGCGCGGCGGTCAGGCCTCCAGGGTCCGAGTGCCGTGTAGTTCCGAGCGGAGGCTTTAGGTGGCAGAAGAGACTTGGTGAAGCCGCAGCCCCAGCCTGGCCCGGCGGCGTGGCTGGCGCCTCTGAGCCCGCGCCTGGCGCTCTCCCCACTGCCGAGCGTTGCCGTCGGTGCTGGGGCTCGCGTTGGCGTGAGGAGCACGTTGCTCGTGGTCATGCCGTTCATCTGGCTTTAGAGTCCAATGGCCTCATCTGACAATTAGTCTTTTTCTTTGCTTTTTAAAAAGATGTATTTATTTATTTGAAAGTGAGAGAGAGAGTCCATCTCCATTTGCTGGTTCACTCCCCAAATGACCACAATGGCTCAGGCTGGGCCAGGCTGAAGCTCGGAGCCTTGAACTCCATCTGGGTCTCTTACATGGGCAGCAGGGATCCAGGCGTTAGGCCATCTTCCACTGCTTTCCCAGGCATGTTAGCAGGGGGCTGGATTGGAATCAGAGTAGCAGGGACTCGAACCAGCGCTCTGATATGGAATACCAGCTTAACCTGGTACCCCGTAGTGTTGGTCCCTGCAGATTAGTCTTTGTTTTAGCTAATTTTAAAGTGAAAATGCACATACCCATGTTCAAATATAAAATTTCTTCCTATTAGTTAAAAAGGAGGATGCTTCTGCAGATACCTTACTCTGGCTTAATCACAGTGCAGGCGTCCGCCCAGGAAGTGAGACCTCTGCACTGCACGTTGCAGCACCTGGGTTTAGTTCCGGGCTCTGGCTCCTGGCTGCGTTTTCCTGCCAGTGCAGAACCTGGGAGGCGGTGCCGAAGGCGCAGTTAAGTGGACTTCTGCCCCCACGTGGGAGCCCTGCAGTGAGTCCCTGGCCCGTAGTTTTGGCCCGGCCCAGCCTCAGTGGTCGGCAGCACTTGGGGGTGAAGCGGGAGTTGGGAGCTCCCTCTGTGGTGCTCTGCCTCAATTCATAAATTAAGCAGCAGCGTGACAGGTCAAGGTGGACTGCGTCTGTGTGTCTGGAGGCTGGACGTGTGATTCTCTGCTAGAGCTAAAATGAGGCTGACAGCGGATGCGCTTGTTACGTGGCGGGTTTGGCCGTGTGTTCATGGACCCTGAATATTTTCCCTTTCAGGATAAGCAGTCTGCCCACCATCTCTGCTTTGAAGTTTCATGGTGCTTTGACCATGGCAGTTGGAACATCGACAGGGCAGGTAAATGTGTTGAAGCTGGAAACTTGATATAAAGTTGGCATTCGGGGACACTGTGTTATGAGAAGCACGCTGTGGGAACAGAGAACGAGGCGTCGCTGTTTTGGCCAGAGTGGAGAGGATGCCGCAGCGTGTCTCATTCCTCCAGCATTTGAGAAGCCTTGACCTTGCCCTGTGGCTGGCCTGAGATGCTGTGGAGCTGGAGTTACAGATTTGTAGGCCTTGGGTGCTGTCTTGATAGTAGCTGGAACAGCGTGTTCCAGGTCCTGGGGTTGAAGCGTTTGGAATTCTGCCAGACTCCTGGTCTTAGAGACTCGCGGTGGGTTCACACGTGCACTGACGGCTCGGAGGAGCCCTGCAGACGAGAGATGTGTTTAACAAGTGTGAGCTCATTTGTGAGCTCCCGGAGCCTTCTCCCGTGGCTCCAGTAGACACATCCCAGCTGTGAGAGCAGAGGACCGTCTGAGTGCATTAGCAGTGCCGGGAGCTGTCTGTCTGTCCTTCAAGGCAGAGCCCACTGCTGTCCCCAGGGAGGTCTGACGTCCTGCTGTAGTCGATTTGCTTCCTCTGTCATCACCGGCTAGCGGGGGTCTGGCACTAAGACCCAGCTTCTAACGATGGGGTCAGACGAGGATTCCCCTTCTCCCAGACGGGGCTGGCCTGGCACCACCCTCCCTCTGGACTCTGTTCTTGTTTTGTTTTGTTTTGTTTTGTTTTAATTTATTTGACAGATAGAGTTAGAAAGTGAGAGAGAGAGACAGAGAGAAAGGTTTTCCTTCTGTTGGTTCACCCCCCAAATGGCCACTACGGCTGGAGCTACGCCGATCCAAAGCCAAGAGCCAGATGCTTTCTTCTGGTCCCCTATGCAGGTGCAGCGCCCAAGCACTTGGGCCATCCTCCGCTGCACTCCCTGGCCACAGCAGAGAGCTGGCCTGGAAGAGGAGCAGCTGGGACTAGAACCCGGTGCCCATGTGGGATGCCGGCGCTGAAGGCGGAGGATTAACCAAGTGAGCCACTGCGCCGGCCCCTGTGGTTTTTTTTTTTTTTTTTTCTTAATGATTTATTTATTTATTTGGAAGGCAGAGATACCAGAGGCGGGGGGGAGGAGTCTTCCATCTGCTGATTCACTCCCCAGATGGCCACGACGGCCAAAGCTGAACTGACCCGAAGCCAGGAGCCAGGAGCTTCTTCTGGGTCTCCCACGCAGTGCAGGTGCCCAAGCCTACCTGCTACACTGCAGCACCAGCCCCTCATTCTCTTTTATATCATTTGCTGTGGCTATGCCTGGTGTGTCGGAGGCTCTCTGATGTAGTTGTTGAATAAGCAAGTGAGACAAGTTCTTTTTTTTTTTATCTTTTTTTTTTAAAGATTTATTTTATTTATTTGAATGACAGAGTTACAGAGAGAGTTAGAGACAGAGAAAGGTCTTGCATCCGCTGGCTCACTCCCCAGATGGGCGCAACAGCCAAAGCTGCGCTGATCCGAAACCAGGAGCCAGGAGCCTCTTCTGGGTCTCCCACGTGGGTGCAGGGGCCCAAGGACTTGGGCCATCTTCTACTATTCCAGGCCACAGCAGAGAGCTGGATCGGAAGAGGAGCAGCCAGGACTAGAACCGGTGCCCACATGGGATGCCGGTGCTTTAGGCCAGAGCGTTAACCCACTGCGCCACAGCACCGGCCCTGAAACAAATTCTTGCAGAATTTTTTTTTTATAAAAGTGATTTCTTAGCATAGCTCAGTAGTTGTCAAACTTAGTGTGCCTAAAAATTATGCTCAGGGTTGAGCTCATAAAGCTGTGTTCTCTAGGAATAATCTAAGAGATTTTTCTAGAACATTACTGGCTGACTTTAGAATCTTAGCACCCTGAGTAAGGGTTTTCATTTTCGTCAGGTGATGAACTAGATGGGAGCCGTCAGTCTGTTTCTTTTTAAGGTAAAATATTTAGTTTGCGTGAGCAGAATAACTTCCTTCCTGTTTCAGGTGTTGCTGTATGATCTCCGCTCCGACAAGCCGCTGCTCGTTAAGGACCACCAGTACGGGCTGCCCATCAAGTCGGTGCACTTCCAGGACTCCCTGGACCTGGTCTTGTCTGCCGACTCCCGGATTATCAAAATGTGGAATAAGAACTCGGTACGTGTTTGTGGTGGACATTACTTTCTTCTTATTTGTGTGTGTTCCCAGTGTGCCTTCTCTCAGTGATCAGGGGTCCTGAGGAAGAGGTGTTTCATCTATCTGTCGCGTAGGAGGAAGTCAGTTGCCTCAGGTCACCCAGCCATGATGGCTTTCTCCCTATGAAAAAGTTCTCCTGATCCGCTAGAACTGGCGTGCATTGTAGGTGTTCCCTGCACAGATGGAGAAAAAAATCATTGAGTCTTGAGGCGGGGACTGTTGTGGCGCAGTGGGTTAAGCCACTGCCTGCGGCACTGGCATCCAGTATGCACACTGATTCGTGTCCCAGATGCTCCTCTTCCAGTCCAGCAGTGGAGGATGCCCCAAGTCCTGGGGCGCCTGCACCCACATGGGAGACCCAGAAGAAGCTCCCGGCTCCTGGCTTCGACCCAGCCCTGGTCATTGCGGCCATTTGGGGAGCAAACCAGTAGATGGACGACTTCTGTCTCTCTCTCTCCCTTTATATACAACTCTGACTTTCAACATAAACAAATCTTTAAAAAGAACAAAAAGAGCCACTGGGGCAAGTGTTTGGCACAGTGGCTACGTCATGGCTTGGGCATCCCATGGTCAGAGCCTGGGTTTGAGCCCCAGCTCTGCTTCTGCTCCAGCTTCCTGCTAATGCACACCTTGGGAGGCAGCGGGTGTTGGCTCAAGTACTCTGCCACCCACGCAGGATACTTCGATGGATTTCTTGGCTCTTGGCTTTGGCCTGGCTCAGCCCCAGCTATTGCAAGTATTTGGAGAGTGAACCAGCAGATGGAAGATAAGATAACCCCCCCCCCCCTTTCTGCCTTTCAGAAGAAATAAATAAATTAAAAGTCCATCCCTGAGAGACCTCTGAGATCCTGAGGCTCTCACAGCCTGAGGGTGTTCATGGGCTGCTCTGTCAGTAGTATGATGAATCTTTTGTTTGTTTGTTTGTTTTTTGACAGGCAGAGTTAGACAGTGAGAGAGAGAAAGGTCTTCCTTCCGTTGGTTCACCCCCCAAATGGCCATTATGGCCGGTGCACTGTGCTGATCTGAAGCCAGGAGCCAGGTGCTTCTCCTGGTCTCCCATGGGGTGCAGGGCCCAAGCACTTGGGCCATCCTCCACTGCATTCCCGGGCCACAGCAGAGAGCTGGACTGGAAGAGGAGCAACCGGGACAGAATCCGGCGCCCCAATCAGGACTAGAACCTTTGGTTCCAGACTTTCCCTCACCTCAAATAATCGGATTTTAGAAGTGACACTTCTGCAATGATTTCTTCTAATATTTTTCTTAAAAGCTGTATTTTCTTAAGAATATTTTGTTCTTCCTGACCTTCAACTCCAAGTGTCATTTTAAAAAGTAATAATCCTATATTGCTGGTTTGGATAGCTGTCTACTTTTCATTTTATTTAATTTTTGAAGACTTATTTATTATTTAATTTGAAAGGCAGAGTTACGGAGAGAAGTACAAACACAAACAGAGAGAGAGAGGTCTTCCATCCACTGGTTCACTCCCCAAATGGCTGTAATGGCTGGGGCTGGGCCAGGCTGAAGCCAGGAGCCTGGAACTCCATCCAGGACTCCCACATGTGTGCAGGGGCCCAAGCACTTGGGCCATCCTCTGTTGCTTTCCCAGGCACATTGGCAGGAAGCTGGATGGGAAGTGGAGCAGCCGGGACTAGAACTGGGGCTCATATGGAACACTCGCGTCACAGGCGGCAGCTGAATCTGCTATGGCCCAGCAGCAGCCCCTGCTTTTCATCTTAAAACCTCGGTTTTTTGAGAGAATAGCAAAAGGTTAGTTCAAGGGCATTGACTTTCTGTGGGACCCCGTGCACATAGGAAGTCTGTGCCTTTTCACCTGTTGTTGTTTTAAGGTAGTTCATTAAATGAATGAGAAAAATGCATTCAGTGTAACGTTAAATTGCTTTTAAGAGTTCTTTACATTTAATTAACCAGAAACTTAGCATCTTTTTAAAATTTATTCTTTTCAGCTGACACACAGTGATTGTGTGGGGAGGTCTGGCCTGGTGGTTAATATGCCCCTGCCCCACATGGGAATGCCTGGGCTGGGCGCCCAGCTCTGGCGTGGCCTTGGGAGGCACTGCTGCCCGGGGGAGACCTGGCCCCTTCTGGGCTCAGTCTTGGCTGTTGTGTACATTTGGAGAAGTGAACTAGCTGGGAAGAAAATTCTCAAAAAGAAGTTCATATCTGAAATGCAGTTGGGTAGAAGATGCCCCTGTCTGTACTGACCGCCCGAGGGCAAGTGCGCTCTTTGCTGGGTGCCGCTGTGCTCAGGGCGTGGGTGCTGCAGGAGCCCGCCACAGCCCGGCCGCCTTCCCAGGCCACTGCTGTTGCTGCTTCGGTCCCGTGTTAACTCGTGAGGTGCTGACCTTGCTGAGCTTTGCTCTCCCTCTGTGTCTGCCTGATTCCGTCCGAGAGCCTTGGGAGTCTGTAAGTTACAGGCAATCACAGCTTTGCTGAATGCCTGAAGGACTTACTGTGGTGATACCTGGAATCATTTGTTAGCTTTGAGTTTTCGTAGTATCTCTGCAGCTTTTCTGGCCATCTGAACTAATTTATGCTAGAGCAATCTTTATTGTTAACACTGCAAGCACATTTTCACTTTTTTTTTTTTTTTTTGACAGGCAGAGTGGACAGTGAGAGAGAGAGACAGAGAGAAAGGTCTTCCTTTGCTGTTGGTTCACCCTCCAATGGCCGCCGCGGCTGGCGCACTGCGGCCGGCGCACCACGCTGATCCGATGGCAGGAGCCAGGTGCTTCTCCTGGTCTCCCATGGGGTGCAGGGCCCAAGCACTTGGGCCATCCTCCACTGTACTCCCTGGCCACAGCAGAGAGCTGACCTGGAAGAGGGGCAACCGGGACAAATCCGGCGCCCCAACTGGGACTAGAACCCGGTGTGCCGGCGCCGCAAGGCGGAGGATTAGCCTAGTGAGCCGCGGTGCCAGCCACATTTTCACTTTTAAAATTGCATAAAATCGTGGCAAGGCAGCTGTGCTTCCTCCCTCCCTAAAGGCAATGACTTACAATCATGGCTTCCCGACCCTTGCAGAGCTTTGCGTGGGAGTTTCTTTAGGCCGTGGTGCCCTTCGTTTCTGTTCCACGCTGGTGGAGTTCCCTGTGCCCTTGCAGAAATGGAGGCAGCTGTGGGAGTCTCGCTGCTGCTTAGCCGTCCTGCCCACGCACCTCCCCCCCTCGCCCTGGCAGCTCACCGCGTCCTGCCTGTCTTCTAACAACGAGCTTGAAGCGTGAGAGCCTGCAGAAATCTCTCTGCACTCACAGGGAATCGCTGCGCGGTCACGCTACAGGACACTGTATTTTGGCATTTTTTTGTCTCATGACTAAACACTTCCGCTTGACTAACACCCAAATCACTTGCGTTTGCGTGCCTTGCTTGTCTTGTTTATCTTTCTCATAGCTTTCTCCACACCCAACTTCTTATCTTCTTTTTTCCCCTTTTATTTTCCTTCTCATTGAATTTCTTCACATACAACACATTTCCCCTGCGTTTAAAGTAGTCGTGTTTTAGCCTTAGCTACGTAATGCCTGATCCCTCACGTATTTGTAGAATTGCATTTTGCCTTCCGACTGCATTGCTTTCCGTGTCCTCCTCAGCCTCGGGTGCAGGCGTGGCAGGCCTCCTCCTCTGGTCTCTGGTGCAAGCCGAGTAAACCACTGATGAGGCGCAGCCACCCTAAGCACCACTCTGTCCTGACTTGTGGGCTTTGCCTTTCAAAGTTCGCACTCATTTATTTACTTTCTGACAAGTCACCTCTCCTTCTTGGCCCGTTTCTTCCTCTCTGATACTGAGGACATTTGATAAATTGATATGACAGATTCCCTAAGACTTTAAAAATGTAAATTCCGTGAATTAGTTATTTCTTTGCATAGCATAGGTGGCTGAGTTATGCCTCCAGTTTGTTTGCGTTGTGTGACGTTGCCAAAATTGCCTGTCTTTAACTATCTTAATAATTTATTTTTGCTTACATTTTAGGGGAAAATATTTACTTCCTTGGAGCCAGAACATGACCTTAATGATGTTTGCCTTTATCCCAACTCAGGTATGCGTTATGTAGCAAACGATCGTTCCATGACACAAGTGTAGGCTGTATGTGTTTGGTTTTAAACTCATTTCTCAAGACAGAATTTGGTTTGGTCTGGACAATTCTTGGATTTTTTTTTTTAACGTGGACAAGCCAAGAACAGGAAGTGGTGTGGATGATTCAGAAAATGGCACTCTTAATGACTCAGGCCTCAGCCCGCCCAGCTATTAGTAAAACCAGTGAGAACCTGGAGGCAGGTGGCAGGTGCAGTGCTGTTGTGGTGTGCTCTGTAGCAGGATTCAGAGCAGCATGTGTGGCCGTTGAGGTGAGGGATTTGGAGCAGGCGGGAGCTGCCTGATCACACAGACGACACAGGAAGCCGTGAGTTTTGCTCTGTTCTGTGTTGTGTGCCACATGTGGATTTCAGAAGTAGCAGTACTGTCAAGGCAGATCTGAAGCATTCAGGGACATGGGAGAGGGGAGAAGAGTTCACTCAAGCAGTACTCTGAGGGCAGACATGCTCAGGGATTTTTTTTTTTTTTTAAAGATTTATTTATTTATTTGAAAGGCAGACAAGAGAGAGAGAGAGAGAGAGAGAGAGAGAACGCTCTTCCACCCTCTGGTTCACTCCCCAAATGGCCACAAGGGCTGGGGCTTGGACAAGAGCCTGGATTTCCATCTGGGTCTCCCACATGGGTGCAGGGGCTCAAGCACCCGGGCCGTCCCCCACTGCTTCCCAGACACACCCGCAGGGAGCTGGAGTGGAGGCTGAGAGCCAGGTCTCCAACCAGTGCTCCTGTAGGTGCCAGCCTTGCGGGCAGTGGCATAACCTGCTGCCCCACAGTGCCGGCCCCTAACTGTTGACTTATTTTCTCCTTTGATGTTTTTCATCAATTTCTCTTTCACAGGTGAATCTGTGGTTCAGGTAGGTTTGGATACATTTATAGACATGAATATTGAACATAACATTGAAAGGTGCAAGGTGTAACATCTTTATATACTAGTGTTTTTGGCTTTAGGGGTTAATGCCTGATAGTCCATTGTAAGTTGGAAATGCATTGAGTGCAACCAAGCTACTAATATGCAGCCTGTAGCATAGTGCACTGTAGGGCCCGGTTGTTTCTCTGTGTGACAATGTGGCTGACCGGAGCTGCCGTACTCTACCTGGCTCTCCCATTGGCTGCAGGGGCCCAAGCACTTGAGCCATCTTCCGCTGCCTTCCCAGGTACATTAGCAGGGAGCCGGATCGGAAGCGGAGCAGCCAGGACCTGAGCCAGCACCCATTTGGCATGCCGGCATCGCAGGTGTTGACATAGCCCTCTGCATCGCAGTGCTGGCCCCACTCGGGTTGTTTTGAGAGAGAGAATCCAACAAAGTGTGTAAACCCCTATCATGTATGTACAGCCAGCACTTTTTTTTTTTTTTTTTTTTTTACTTTGTTCATTTTATTTGAAAGGCAGAGTTACAGAGAGGCAGAGGCAGAGGCAGAGGACAGGAGGGTCTTCCATCCGCTGGTTCACTCCCCAGATGGCCGCAATAGCTGGAGCTGTGCCAATCCAAAGCCAGGAGCCAGAGCTTCTTCTGGCACGTGGGTGCAGGGGCCCAAGGGCTTGGGCATCTTCCACTGCTTTCCCAGGCCACAGCAGAGAGCAGAGTTGGAAGTGGAGCAGCTGGGACCAGACTGGCGCCCTTATGGGATGTCAGCTTTACCCGCTACGCCACCGTATGGTAGAGAACAGCATGTTAGAGAGGGTCTCGCTGGCGCACCTCGGGGACGCTGTGGAGACTGTTATTTGTGCTGAATTTGGCTTGTGAGTGAGATAAGGCTCAGCGGGAACGGGGAGGCGATCCCCTGAGATAAGGCTCAGCTGAACGGGGGAGGCGATCCCCCTGAGATAAGGCTCAGCTGAACGGGGGAGGCGATCCCCCTGAGATAAGGCTCAGCGGGAAAGGGGGAGGCGATCCCCTGCGATCCCCTGCAATCCCCTGAGATAAGGCTCAGCGGGAACGGGGAGGCGATCCGATCCGCTGAGAGCAGAAGGCAGAGCGAGACCCCGGGGGACGCTGAGCTGGGGGGGGGGGGGGCTGCGAGCCTCTGACCGGTGGCTCTGGGAGGGCTGCGGTGCAGGGCGGATGGCGCGGGGGGCAGGCCCAGGAGACGAGCTGAGGGGACTGGCCCTGCCTGCCGCGAAGAAGACCTGTTCAGACGGTGCTGTCAGAAAGCAGGTCTGCCCGCTGTGCCAGAGGCACGTGGGTTTGGAACTAAAGTTGTGGGGGTGGTGCTCTGCGCTGAGGCGGGGAACCAATGACAGAGATCGTGGCTGCTTTCCCAGCACTGAGTAGTAGGAGGTGATGGGATGGGGCCACTGTGTGCAGAGGGGCTCTAGCTTGGCTGCCCACTGGTCATCTGGGGAGCGTTTAAAGTACAGATCCCTTGACCTCATCCACAGTGCACTGACTCAGGTGTCCAGGGCTAGGGCCCAGAGATGTGTAATTTTTTTTTTTTTTTTTAAGATTTTTTTTAAAAAACACTTGGGCCATCTTCCACTGCTTTCCCAGGCCATTAGCAGAGATCTGGATCAGAAGAGGAGCTGCTGGGACATGAACCGGTGCCCATATGGGATGCCCGCACTGCAGGTGGAGGTTTAACCTACCACAGCCCAGCACCGGCCCGAGACTTGTATTTTCCCTGCAGTGCCCACGTGCCCCTCACAGCTGCAGCCCCGCACTGACCCACAGGCCTGCACTTGCAGCTGTGTCTGTGCGCAGTGCGGACTGTGGTCTCAGGGTCAGCAGGGTGCAGAGGCATGGAGATGGAGGTGATTCCCGGGGTGGGAGCACGTGGAGCGAGTCGAGAGAGCAGGAGTGGCTCCTTCCCGGGGCGGATGAGGAGGAAGACGAGCCAGCCGAGAAGCTTGGCGGGAACGGGCAGAGTGACCGTCCGCGAGCCACAGCTCGGCGGCCGCGGCGCCCGAGGCAGAAGAGATGCAGTCGGCACAGCCCAGCGAGCAGGGGCTTAACGCGTGTCCCGATGTTGTCAGTGTGGGTGCTGGCGGCTGTCACCGTTTATCATGGTCTTGTTACAGCCCTGTGTAGTCTGTGGCCTGCAGTTGGTGGGCTTTTTCTTTTTTTTGTTTTCTGTCTTACCTCTCAGGTCGGAGTAGTGGGGTGGTTTGCAGGGTGGCTCACAGGCTGGCGTGTGGCAGCCTGGGTTAGAGCCGTCCTGGTGTTGGGGGCTGTCGCCATTCCGGTTGCACACCGCTCTCCCAGGAGAGGCGGGCAGCTCAGGACCTGTCGCCTGCACTTCCGCTGTCAGGGTAGTGGGGGTGCACTTCTGTTCTGGGGTTCAGGAATTCAATGCGGGTGGCAAGAATGGGGTCAGACTGATTACCAAGGGGAGCGCAGCAGGTGCGGTGAGGCTGGAGCGGGGTGAAGAGCAGAGGTCACTGTGGAGGGCCCAGGGGGTGCTGAGAGAATTCACTGCAGGAGAATTTCACCCCCTCGTTTTTGCTTCTCCCGAGGGTGACTTCTGAGCCCAGGCCAGTGGGCTCCTGGAATGTCTGTCATTCTGAGTGTCTGAGTATGTGACAGTTTCTCATGATAGCCAGTGTCACCTAAACTACAACTTAGGGCTGAAGAGTTGATTCAGGCCCAGCGTGGCCTGCCGGGCTCTCCCGTTGGGTCTCCTCCCAGCAGATCACGCGGGCGTCCTGCGCGATGGGGGTGATTCTCCTGACGGAGGACTGACTGGTACTACCCGGGGACCTGCAGACGGTTCACCGGGCACCCGTGAGCTTGCCAGGGTTCCGTGCACAGGGGATGAGCCCCCACTCGTGGTGGACGGGCCTGCGTGTGGCTGATTCATCATCTTGCTTTACCACACCTTCTTTCAGCTCCAGTCTCTCTGTTTTCTGCTGACTCATTGTGCGCTGAATCATGTTTCAGAAAAGCGACAACCTTCTTCTTTATCTGCTCATCTGCTCGTTTTGTAGTAATCGAATAATGGTGATTGCTCCCTGGTGTTTTTCTAGTGCTGAGGCTGCTCAGAGCCTTGAGAAACCATCTGCCGCGCGGCTCACCCTCCGGCCACTCTTGCTCACTCTGTGTCTGCTCCGCGTCCACACGCAGCGGTCTCTGTGAGCCGGGGGCTGGCCAAGGCAGGGCGGCTCCGTGACTTCGGTGTGTGTCACACTGCTGACACGGGAACCGGGGAAGCTTGCGTACATCTGAGCCCCTTTCAGACCCAGGAGTCGGGACCAGTGACTCCAGAACCCTCAGTAGAGAGAAGGTGCACTTTGGGCTAGAAAAGATGTGATTGAGGCTTACTAACTATGCAAATTATCCAGCCTCCGCTTTCTTACCTGCCTTCCAGGGCTGTTGGAGATTGCCTGTATTTTCATTAATTTTTTTTTAAGATTTATTTATTTATTTATTTGAAAGTCAGAGTTACACAGAGAGAAAGAGAGGGAGAGAGAGGTTTTCCATCCGCTGGTTCACTCCCCAGTTGGCCACAACGGCTAGAGCTGTGCCAATCTGGAGCCAGGAGCCTCCTCTGGGTCTCCCACACTGGTGCAGGGGCCCAAGGACTTGGACCATCTTCCATTGCTTTCTCAGGCCATAGCAGAGAGCTGAATCAGAAGTGGAGCAGCCAGGTCTTGAACCAGCCCCCATATGGGATGCCAGCGCTTCAGGCCAGGGCTTTAACCCACTGTGCCACCGTGCCGGCCCCATCTTCATTTATTTGAAAAAAGGACAGACAATGAGAGATCTTCCATCCCTTGATTCACCCTTCATTGGCTGCAACAGCTGGTACAGCCCGGGCAGTGTGCACGTGGGGGAGTCTGTGACTGGAGGCCCCCTGCCAAGGAGAGTCTGGGATTAAAGCCCAGGACACGACCTGTAGGGGACCTAGCGGGGCACCCTGTGCTGAGTACCCTGGGCGTTCCAGCAGGTAGCCGAGTCCTTTTCTCCTCTCCTCCCCATGTGTTTACCGTTTTCTCTGTGTTTATTTTTAGGAATGCTTCTAACTGCCAATGAGACCCCCAAGATGGGCATCTACTACATTCCGGTAAGTCCTGCGAAGAGGAGAAACAATCAGATAGGATGAGCAGGACACGGTGTGTTGAGGCCGGGGCCTCAGGCAGGGGCTGCATGAATGACACTCAGTGCTGTTGCTTGCTGGCTGAATGGGCTTCCAGTGCTGAAACACTCTTCTGGGGGAAGCCATCAACATCAGGTTAAAGTGGGCGTCACAAGTTAGTAGTTATTCTTCAGGTTGCATTTGTTCCCAAGTATTTTAGGATCTTAACCTTTCAACTGTTAATTGTCAAGAGGTCTAATTCTTACATCAAAATCTGCTACTCTCCCAGTCATCTCACCGTTGTCTGTCTGTTTTGTGTTTTGTCCGACAAGTGTTATAGAGGGAGATTCGTTGTTAGCAGAATGCAGAGGTGAAGCACGGCATTCACGTGTTCCGCTCACAGTGCTGAGGCGGAGGCGGGCTGCGGGTCGGTGAGGGGGCGTGGCCTTTGCAGGACACGCGGCAGTCTGTCACGCAGCTCCCTGGTTCCCTGAAGCGTGCTGCGCTAGGGCGCCCCCAGAGGGTTGTTCCACATTCACTGCACTTGTACAGTGTTCTCCCGGTGGTGTTTGTGCGACTGTTTGTTGAAGTTTGCCTCAGACTAAAAAGTTTTTCCACTTCCATTGCCTTCCTAGGGTTTTTCCTCTGTTCTCTGACAATTTGTTTAAAAAATAAATCTCACACAAAAGAAGCCATCTTAGATCGACTTGATCAATGATAGCACGCAGTTAGCATTCTGTTCTTTTTTCTCCTTAGAGAATTCTCATACATTCCAGAACTTTCTGCACTGGTGGTGTTTAGCTTACAGTGGGAAATGCGATCTGCTGTGGTGCGGGGTTGGCACGAGGCCTCTGAGTGGTCGCAGGACGTCCCCTGCTCTGCGACGTGGGGGCAGGAGAGCAGGACTGAGGGACGGGAACCCGTGAACCCTCCGTGGCGGAGGAGGGAGTGCCTCCGGCCGTGGTGGCTCTCAGGTAGCCCGGGGCATCTGCACAAGAGTGCTCTCCTGGGCTCTGACGCTCTGCGGCTTTGGGAAAGAGAACGCAGCAGGAAGCCCCCTGAGCTACTCCTTTAGGTTGACAGTGAGATGAGGCATTAGACAGGGAGCATCGTAGCTTTCCTGGGTTGACAGTGAGATGAGGCATTCAGACAGAGCGTTGTAGCTTTCCTGAGTTGACAGTGAGATGAGGCATTAGACAGGGAGCATTGTAGCTTTCCTGAGTTGACAGTGAGATGAGGCCTTCAGACGGGGAGCATCGTAGCTTTCCTGGGTTGTCGCTTGCTCCTCTCCGCCAGGCTCTGCACGGATACTGCTGCCATATTCCTGTCTGTCTGTCTCTTGCCTGGCAGTCACTAGTTGGTAAAAGACTGCACGCACCAGGCACTGTGCTTGTCCTGGCCGCGTGGCAGCGTACGGAGCACCGCTTCTTTCCCCAGGAGTTACTGCTGAGCACTAAAGACAGCAGGCAATTTTTTCCTTTCTCTTTATTTTTTAAGGTGAGTTTTAATTGTGTATTTATTTATTTTGTTTTGAAGATTTATTTATTTCATTTGGAAGGGAGCATGACAGGAAAAGGGAGAGGTAGAGAGAGCCAGAGAGAGAGATCTTCCATCCTCTGGTTCTTTCCCCGAATGTCCACAACAGCCAGGGCTGGGCCAGGCCAAAGCCAGGAACCAGGAACTCTACCGAGTGGAGACGTGGGTGGCAGGAACCCAAGTACCTAGGCCATCGTCGGCTGCCTCGCAGGCGCATTAGTAGAAAGCTGGATTGGAAGTGTGGAGGAGCTGGAACTTGAACCAGGCACTCCGATATGGGATGCAAGTATCCCAGTCAGCTGCTTAGCCTGCGACCAAGCCCAGCCCTGCCAGTCAATTCAGAGCCACGAACGCTGTCATAGACGTGAGAGGGAAACTGGGAAAGCCCGTGGGAGGAGCAGGCCAGGAGCTGGTGGGAAGTGTGGCCAGAGACAGAGACTGGACAGAGGGGTCAGGTAGAGTGGGGTACAGAAAGGGAGACTGGTCTCAACAGTACAGGGAACAGTGTGTTCGAAGATCGGGAGAAAATAGCTCACATGGCCCAGCACTGGAGAGAGGACAGGAAGTTAAGGGATAGAGTGGGCGGGCCTTGTAAGCCTGGGGCGGGCATGTAGGACACAGCGTCCTGGCAGAGCTGTGAGCTAGGGAGTGATAGGATCAGATTTGCATTTTTGGAAGGAAGGCTTTGGCTGACACACGGAGAACGGATCGGATCGGATGCAGTCTGGCAGCAGTGAGAACAGGCCGTGCGATCTGCGGAGCAGAGGAGAGCAGCCATGTGACCTGCTCAGTGGCTGTGGCCGAGGGTGCTGGGAGGATGGGAAAGCAGAGGCCTTGTCCGTCAGGCGGTCACTGCAGTCTGCTGTCCTGGATGCCCAAGGGCGTGTCTCAGAGGGATCACTGGGGAAGCCCCGTGTAGCTCTCAAGAAATGTCCCCCTTAGTCCAGTGCTGCAGCCTTCTCCCAGGGTCCAGCCCTCTGGGGAACAGTGTCAGGGGAGGCAGAATCAGTCAGCTTGCCCCTCACGGACCCCTCCATCGTGGGCGAGGTCTCTGTTGGTCTTCCTCTTACGAGTGCTTCCTGTGTTTTGGTCCTCAGCGACTGGCCATCGATGAGGCGCGTCTGAGGTCCCTTCCCCTGGACAGAAGTAGGCGGATCAGCTGGGGCAGGGAGTTCTCCCGGTGGAGCGGGGAGGCCGGCGGGGAGGAGGGCGTCGGGATGGAAGGCCTCGTCTGGGAGGAAGGCAGGGCTGCTGTGACGGGGCCATCTCACGGGCCTGCGGGCAGCTTGTGGGCAGCCGGGGTGGACCTGAAAGACTTGTCAGAGTTGGGAGAGGCTTGGTGACCAGCTGAGTGTGGGGTGGGAGGCCAAGGAGGGAGCCGAGGGTGGCACCCCTGTGTCTGCTGGGGCAGGTGTGTGGTGGCGGCGTCATTCTGAGTCCAGAGCAGGTGGGGACACTGAAACCTATTTTCCCTGTGGTATTTTCTGCATTTTGTAAAATGGCTTTTACGGAAGCAGACACAGCTGTTAGATTCAGTGAACAGTGTGGGCACGTTCCTGTTCCGGTTGTTTACGAAGTGTAGTTCAGAACCACCAGACCCACCTCGGCAGTGTGGTGACTGCTGGTGAGGGACGACTTCTCTTCCAGTTCCGCCAGTGCTGTGCGCAGTCACGTGGCGTACACACTGTGCCCTGGGTTCTCAGTTCACCTTGGAGTTCTCAGTTCAAGCAGCTGAAATCCCGTAGACAGTCTCAGTTGCGTCCGTTGTTTCTTCCTGGGGCTGGTGACACTTAGGTCCCCTCAGAGCCGCCGGGCGTCAGTCACCCGGTCCTCTGGGTCTCTTTCCAGGTGGGCTTCTTGCTGTGAGTGTCGGGGGCTCCAGCAGCGTGAGCGAGAGGGGCCGCTGGTGAGCAGCTGTGTTCTGTCCTGGAGAGCTCTCGAGCGGCGGGCGGCATTGCAGCAGGCTGAGCAGGGCGCCGTGGGAAGCGGCCCGGCGCCTGTGCCCGCGCCCTGCTGGCGCTGCCCTGAGCCGCCGTGCCGCCCCTGCGTGAGCTGTAGAATGCCACTCAACACCCAGCCGTGCTGTGTGATGCTCCTTCAGAGCAGGAGAGCCCAGGGGGCTGAACGCCTGCCCTTTTCCCTGAGATTGTATCACACTTCCCGAGCTGACATTTGGCTCGGAGGCTCGGGTGAGGCCCTCGGAGCCAGAGAGGCGTGTTAGTGCACGACCTGTGCCAGGTTGAGGAGGCGTGCACTGATTTGTAGCAACATCAACATCCTACTCATCAGGTGGGAAGCACTTTCTCCCCTGTGGGGCGGCCTGAAGACGAAGGCGGCTTCACACTCTTCCAGCCTGCCCGTCTTTCTGGAATACTCCAGGTCTGTGTAGATGAACGCCAAGATCTGTGTAGACGAACACCGTTCCTGATGTGTGCACCCCTCGTCCTTTGTGACCAGGCAGATCTTGCCAGCCCGTGTCCTGTTTTCTCAGAACTCCTCTTTTCTCGACCCTCCCCCGTCTCTCTCTCTCTCTCTCTCTCTCTCTCCCTCTCCCTCTCCCTCTCCCTCTCCCTCTCCCCCTCCCTTCCTCCCCCCCCCCCCGCCCGTCTCTCCCCCTCCCCCTCTCCCTCCAGGTTTGTTGTCACTTGTGTGTTTGCTGCAGGGTCTCATTATTCTCAGCTCCAGAGACCAGCCCAGCGATGATTCTTGAGACTTGGTTTTCCTCTGAAACGTAACTTCATTTTCGGTTAGTTCTTTATAATGAACACCGCTGGCAAGTGTGTGGACTGCCTGGGGCCCCTGGGCCGCTGTGGCACCCACGCTGAGACCCAGCGCCCGCCCAACCTTGCTCTGCTCAACGCTCCCGAGTGCCGAGCCCCGGCTTCCCACGGCTGCGGCGGCCGCGCCTCACCCGTCCTCCGTGGACCGCCTGTGTGCTGATACGTGGGTGTGTGAACTTGAGGGGCACCATGAGAAGAAAATATGTTGCTTTTTGTTCTGGAAGCTACTTGATTTAGAAGAATAAAAGTAATTCAGTTACTGAAGGGTGCTTTTTGGTTTTTGGGGTTTTTTCCAGTTTGCACTTTCAAGCTGCTCTAATCGTTTTTATATATATATATATATGTGTGTGTGTGTATATATATATATATATATATATATAGTAAAGATTTTATTTATTCATTTGAGAGGTAGAGTTATAGACAGTGAGAGGGAGAGACAGAGAGAAAGGTCTTCCTTCCCTTGGTTAAATCCCCAGTTGGTTGCAACAGCCAGAGCTGCACCGATCAGGAGCCAGGTGCTTCCTCTGGGTCTCCCATGTGAGTACAGGGGCCCAAGGACTTGGGCCTTCTTCTGTGGCTTTCCCAGGCCACAGCAGAGAGCTGGATTGGAAGAGAAGCAGCCGGGACTAGAACCGGAACCCATATTGGATGCCATTGCCTCAGGTGGAGGATTAACCAAGTGAGCCACGGCACCGGCCCCTGCTCTAACCATTATATGCAATGTCACTGGACCCGGTTTGCAATACTGGAAGTTACGTATTTTATTTTAAAACATTTTCTTAGGATAAAGTTTCTATGTCATTTGTATTAAAATGATTGGGTTAGTTATAATAGATCGAAAAACCCATTTAAATATTTTACCGTTTATGATTTGGAAAGTGCTTGCTCGTACCTGCAAATGGGCAAGATTAGAAACAGCAAGGATTCTCCAGGGCTTATTTTCTTCTGATGTAAATGGAGGCTGTTCTTAAAGAAACAGGAAGGGCTGTGTCTAAGCTGCTCTTGGACTTTGGTTGCTGTGCGGGAACAGCACTGGGACTACCCAGCATCATTCCCAAGGCCACAGCGTTTGCAGATGGAGAAGAGTAGCCCTCAGGAGTGCTTGCTTCACTGAGTTCTGGAAACACACGTGTCACACGCACATGCTCACAGAGGCGTGCAACGCCGAAGAGAACGCACCAGGGCTTCAGCCCCACATTTTGAGGAATGAAGGGTTCAATTTCATGACTGTCTCTATCCCTCTCTACCCAGGGGGTTTCCACACTCCCTGGTGGGAGTCCGTGGCAGGGCCGCGGTCTGCTGGCTGCTCGGGCTCATTGGCTTCTGCTCCTGCGGGTGTAGGCTCAGCGCTGGGCAGACCTCTGTGTGCAGAACCTGGGGAGATTTGGGGTGGCCAGGGAGGTGCTTTTGAAATAACTTAGTTGTAGCATTTAGAAATCAGTTTTAGAGAAGTGGTATGGAAATTTGTGTAGTAAATATATGGCTATTTGCAATTTGGCAGAGAAATAAAAATGGGTTTTGTTTTGTTTTGAGAGCAAGAGAGGGAGGACAGGGAAAGAGCTCCCGTCCACTAGCTGCATCCCAGAGGCCTGCACAGGCTGGGCTGGGGGCTGAAGCCGGGCGCTGGACACTGAATCTTCCACGCGGGTTGCAGAGACCCAGTCGCTGAGCTGCCTCACGTGGTCTGCATTGGCAGGAAGCTGGAGGCAGGAGCTGGAACTAGAACGGGGTGCTGCACTCCCGTGTGGGGTCTGGGGCATCCTGCTTTACCTGGCAGGCCAAACAGCTGCCACTGAGGGCTCAGGCATTTAAGTCGGTGTTGTCCTCTAAGGGCTGTTGTCACAGAACGCTCACACACAAACAGTTTCAGGGGCTCTGCCAGGCGAATCGGAACTTGAGCTGACTTTGTAGGTGCAGTCCTACATTTTGCGATTGTGTGAGCCTGCCTGCTGCAGAGGTATTCACTTCCTGATCAGCCCTAGGTGGTCTCGGCAGATGACACCTGTGTCAGGTCTGGTGTCTCCAATATTACTTCCCTGCAGTGCCCTGGCGTAATTTTCCAGAAGGCCTGAGGACAGCATGGTTCCCAGCGCCTGGGAAGGGGGTGGAGGGGGTGGGGTGGAGAGAGGAGGCTAAGGGTTGGGTGCAGCCGGATAGTGTTTCCTAGCACGGTAGGTGACTGACTGACAACAGTGCGTTGGCTGTTTCAGAACAGCCAATCGAGGGTTTTTTTGGAAAAGATTTATTTATTTGTTTGAAAGGCGGGGCAACAGAGGGAGTAGTGAGAGAGGGATTTCCTATTTGTTGGTTCATTCGCCAAAAGGCCCACAACAGCCGGATGTGGACCAGGGCAAAACCAGGAGCCAGGAACTCCAGCCAGGTCTTCTCCATGGCTGGCAGGCACCCAAGTACTTGGGCCATCATCCACTGCCTTCCCAGGCCTGTTAGCAGGAGGCTGGGTTGGAAGCAGAGCACCCGGGACTTGAACTGGCCCTCAAATATGGGATGGCCGTGTTGTAAACAGATGCTTGGCCCACCGTGCCGCAGTGCTGGCCCCAGTAGAGGATTCTGAGTGGTTTTCAGCACAAAGAAATAGCAGATATCTGAAGAGGTAGATGCTGGGTCCTCCTCGTCTGTGCAGGACTTGACCGTGGCCCTCTTCCCCTGACCTCCAGGTGTCCGTGTGCCCGGGGCTCTGTTCCTGTCTCTCCTGTTTGTGTCCTCTCCCCAGGCAGTGCATGTGTCCCTCTGCTGCACGGATAGCTGTGTGCTGGGGACTCCCAAACCGTTTCTCCCGCCCTGCCCTCGGTGCGGGCTGCAGGGCTGTTTACCCACTGGCCCACTTGGCTCCTCCACTGGGTATGTGACAGCACAGCACATGGAGCGTTGCTACCGCAGAGCTTCCGGGCCTGGCTCCCCACTCACCCCCACCTGCCAGGCTCCCGTTTCAGCTGAGGCTCCGTCATCCACCGGCCGTTTACCATGCGTGCTCAGAGCGGAGGAGCCGTCTGTCTGTCCTCTGCCCTCCACCTCACTCTGCCTCCTCCAGAACGTGCGCCACACCCAGCTGTTCCGCAGTGCGCATTCCTGCTGCTTCCCCACAATGGCCTCCGCGTGGGCGCTCTTTAACTTTTGTCCCTCTGTTAGTCTTTCTTCCATCCAACAGCCAGATTGATTTAAAATATAAAAAGATAAACGCACACAGGCTACACTACTCTTCTGCTTAAAACTTCCAGTGGCTTACCATTTTGCTTAGAACATCCCAGCTCTTCTCATAACTTAAAATGTCCTGCATGACAGAGAAGGGAAAATAGATTAAAATGCCAGTGTGTGGGGCCAGGGCTGTGGTGTAGTGGATAAAGCCACCACCTGCAGTGCCGGCATCCCATGTGGGTGCCAGTTCAAGTCCCAGCTGCTCCACTTCTGACCCAGCTCTCTGCTATGGCCTGGGAAAGCAGAAGATGACCCAAGTGCTTGGGCCCCTGGCCCGTGTGGGAGACCCAGAGGAAGCTCCTGGCTCTTGGCTTCGGATCAGCGCAGCTCCAGCCGTTGCAGCCATCTGGGGAACAAATCAGCGGATGGAAGACCTCTCTCTCTGTGTTAATTCTGACTTTCACATAAATAAATCAATCCTTTTTTAAAAGATTTTATTTGAGAGGTAGAGTTAGATAGTGAGAGGGAGAGACAGAGAGGGAGGTCTTCCTTCCATTGGTTCACTCCCCAAATAGCCGCAACAGCCAGAACTACGCCAATCCGAAGCCAGGAGCTTCTTCTAGGTTTCCCACATGGGTGCAGGTGCACAAGGACTTGGGTCATCCTCCTACTGCTTTCCCAGGCCATAGCCGAGAGCTGGATGGAAGAGGAGCAGCCGGGACTTGAACATGTTCAGTTCTGTTTTCTCTCACCCAACAGGGGCCAGATCTCTATAAGCCATTAATCCCTTCACAGACAGCACCAAATCGTCAGACCATTAAACTAACTTTCCAGCCAAATCAGACATACATTACCTAAACCGAAACATGAAATTATCAGAGAGGAAGATTGAAATTAGAACGACAGTCAGTGGAGATCCAGGGAATCTTGGGTCCAGCTCTGAGAGCCAAAGAGAAACTGTCCAGGTTGAAGCAGCCCAAGTGAGGTGTGCGTCTGCTAAGGGGCTTACCTGGGCTTACCTGGCTGTGTCAGGCGTGTCCATCCAGTGGACATCTTGGTGAGACCTCCAGAGTTATTAAAGGACGATTTTCCAAAAGTAAGAGAAATAGCAATTCTTAAATAGATACAAAATAAAATTTTAATTTTAATTTAATGAAGGAACCAGGTACCTATTATAACCGATCAAAGGAGAACTCTAAAACAACACATTTTACGTGGAGCAAAGTTATATTGACTCGGGAATGTGCAGACAAAAAATGGACTTTTCCAAGGATGTGGGGGGCCAGCTGTCCATCTGGGATTATCCACCTGGTTGTCTACTGGTGCTTATTTTGCATTTGCTTCTGGTTACCAGCAGTTTGTAGAGTTTAAAACAGACCCTGTAGAATCAGAATCTGTTTGTCTTGTACCGTGTGCCTAAGACCACACAGCAGCCTGTTTGGTAATAAAGTTTTATTGGGACCCAGTGTACCCACTCACTTTTCTATTGTCTGTGGTGGCTTTCTGACTCTGACTGCAAAATTAAGTAGCTGTGATAGACACCGTGTCCTGTGAGCCCCCAGATATTTTTCCTGTGTGTATTTATCTCCTTCGTTATGCATGTCTTTCCCCATTCTTATATGAAACATGGCTGCAGGGGCTTGTTTGTGCCTCCCATCGGCTCCACAGCACCTTAAGCAGTGCCTACCCACTGCAAGAGTGATCTGGTTACTAATGTGGGGATCTTAGGTACTGGTTGTGTGTTTTGACAATGGCTGGTTTGCAGCACTTAGACCAGTTTGGAACTTTGCATTTGTCTGTTTCTGCTACCCTGTTGAGATACAGAAGGGAAGAACACGATGTGGAAGTGCCAGAGTGCAGTTTTTATGCAGTGTGCTCATGGAGGGTGTTCTTGTCAGGCTGATGAGAGATGCATGTGATGGGAGAGTTGTGGCTGGGAGTGCTGACAGATGTCTAAAGTGACGCCTGGGCCAAAAGATCCCGTGGTGATACTGTTAAGAGGATAGATTCAACTCTTTCCTAGAAAAATAAGAAGAATATGAAGGCCAATAGCATTTGGCTTGTCGTAGCTTTTTTGGAATTTGTACAGAAGTTGGCTTTGCGTCTAGAGTGGGAGACTTACCTGGTTTAAAGACTGGAAGTGACAGTGCTGGCTGTTCCCCATGTGTGTGCATGTTCTTCTGACTGACAGTGCTGGCTGTTCCCCACGTGTGTGCCTGTTCTGACAGACAGTGCTGGCTGTTCCCCATGTGTGTGCCTGTTCTTCTGACTGACTCTAGGCTCTTCCCCATGTATGTGCCTGTTCTTCTGACTGACAGTGTTGGCTGTTCCCCACGTGTGTGCCTGTTCTGACTGACAGCGGTGGCTGTTCCCCACGTGTGTGCCTGTTCTTCTGACTGACAGTGCTGGCTGTTCCCCACGTGTGTGCCTGTTCTGACTGACAGTGCTGGCTGTTCCCCATGTGTGTGCCTGTTCTTCTGACTGACTCTAGGCTCTTCCCCATGTACGTGTCTGTTCTTCTGACTGACAGTGTTGGCTGTTCCCCACGTGCCTGCCTGTACTTCTTAAGATTTGGGTTTGGATATGGACCATGACTGCCCAGTCGATCCATTTCCATTACAAATCAACACTGCTGATTCGTTTATGTTTGCTAATTTGGTATTCTGGAGAGTTCCCCAGATGAGAACTATCCTTGGCTCACTGGTGTGTGTTGGAGTGGTCCTGAGCGTGGGAGTGTCCCTGGTGTGTGTTGGAGTGGCCCCGAATGTGGGAGTGTCCCTGGTGTGTGTTGGAGTGGCCCTGAACATGGGAGTGTCACCAGTGTGTGTTGGAGTGGCCCTGAGCGTGGGAGTGTCCCTGGTGTGTGTTGGAGTGGCCCTGAACGTGGGAGTGTCCATGTGGAACCCTGAAGATGATGGATAGCGTTTCCATCTTCTAAGCAGAGAGCTGTTAGATGTACTGAGAGAAGTGATTTTATTAGACATTGCGTTTGGCGGTGCCAGTGACAACATAATCTTGAGTTGGGGAGGTAGTGCCAGGTGTCCCCGGGGAGTTTGCCAGCACACAAAGGACGTACAAGACAGAACATAAGCTGGACAAGTAGTTGCTGAAATGTTTTCCGCACGAAGGATTCTTCAGTGTGCTCTACGGGAAGGAGGAGGCATTGCAGCATGGCACATTGCAGCTGGACGGGATCTTTGAGTCTTCTAATCCAGCCCGATTTACAGCTGAAGAATCAAGCTACGTGGTCAAGGTCAAACGACAAATCGGTGGCAGAGCTGGCTCTAGGAGGCATTTCTCTTCCTTCTTAAGATGCATTTCTTTCTTTGAAAGGCAAAGTGACAGAGGGAGGGAGTGGGTGAGAGATGGGGGGTGGGTGAGGGATATCAAGAAAGTCCATGGGACTACTCCTTAAATACTCGCAACAGCCAGAGCTCAGCCAGGCCAAAGGCAGGAGCCAGGAACTCCATGTCTCCGGGGCGGGTGCCGGAGCCCACCTGCGAGCCGTCATCCACTGCCTTCCCAAGCGCATTAGCAGGAAGTTGGGTTGGAAATGGTACATCCAGGTCTTGAACCAGCTCTCCAGTGTCTCACGTGGTGGCATAATTTGCTGTGCCACACACTGGCCCCTAGATTGCACTTCATTCCACATTGCGTAGTAGAAGGAACTGAGGTCTTGGAATTAGGCCCAGAAGATTTATTTTATTTATTTGAAAAGCAGAGTGACAGAGAGGAAAAGACAGAGAAAGAGATCCATCATCTGGTTCACTCCCCCACGTGGCCACAATGGCCAGGAGCTGGACCAGGCTGAAGCCAGAAGCCTAAAACTCCATCCAGGTCTCCCACACGGGTGGCAGGGGCCCAGTACCCATCCTGCGCTGCTTTCCCAGGTGCATTAGCAGGGAGCTGGATCAGACGCAGAGCCGACGGGAGTGGGGAGCCAGCAGCACTCTGATCTGGGGTGCCGTCACAGGTGCGTTTAAACCACTGCAATCCTGTAAGGCAGTGAAGTGAAGTGAAGCAGACGCACTTAGTCGTTTCTCCTGTCCCACCAGTTTCCTGAGACAGGCAGCATTTGAGGAGCCTGGTACACAGGCTTCGGATGAGAGTCGTGGCCTTAGTGGGCATGGTTTCCTGTGGGTCTGCAAAGGAGTATGCACCAACCAAGATAAAGGGACACGATCAGGCCGTGACAAGATCCCAGGTGTGGGCCAGGAAAATACTGTCACGTCTGTTCCTAGATCATAGAAAGTACAGTGGGAGAGTGCTGCTGGACGCCATTGATTTTGTCATTAAGTATTGAAGCAGAAGCAGCGGTGAGATTTGGTTGCTAAAATAAGAAATGGGATTTTTTTCAAGTGAAGTCCATTTCCCTCCATTATGTCATCAAAGCTTGCTCTTCATAGGAAATACGGTGAAGACGAGTGGCAGGAAACTCAAGCAGCCTTCCTCCACCCAGAGGCAAACATTTATAGCTATATTTTTTTTAATATTTAATCTGAAACATTGTCATCATTTCATATCTTGCTGTTTACTTAATGTTTCCCTGTGTTCTTATAAACTCTTGGAAGTAATCAAAATGTAATTGTGTACGGGGATATAAAAGTGATTTTAGTTATTTTCATAATATGTAATGATCGGGAAGAAAAAGGCAGCTGTGGTCACACCAGTCAGAGACATTCTTGCTAACATTTTTGTTATGTTTTCTTTGCATTTGGGAGTAGTTTATTGGCTGTTGATTGGGTTTAAAGTGAAATCCTAGAAGAGGCTCATTTAGCTAACATGGCTTTAAATAAAGGCACTGGTGGCTGGAATGAGATCTGATGGGGAGAGAGGCAGCCAGGTTCAGTTTTGTGCCATCTGCTCCACTCTGGGCAATGTCTTGGAGTAAACTTGAGATGGGAGCTTTCTTAGCAGAGAGAATTCAGCCCTGGTTCCCCAAAGCATCCAGCACATGGGATCACGTACGTGTGGGAATCTTCTCTGCGTTTAGGGTGGTGCTCGTTCTGCACCGACGTTGGGAGAACGAGAAGACAGGCACTCTGTTATTTTTGTGTCTGTTGGTTCCTGGCAGCTCTCCTGGTGACGCCACACTGAGTGGGAGTTAGCATTTAAGATGGGATTTTGGGCTTGGCTGCTAAGTATCAGCCGTCTGCTGTCTCTAGTTCTGTTCCAGCCCCTGAGGAAGACTCCAAAGGGATGTTCAAGGTTAATTCTGGTTATGCCCCGTTCGGTCTCATCTGACTGACTTTAGAACCTGATCTCTGTATAATAGGTCAAACCAGTGAACAAAAATGTCAGAAATAGTACATGCAACAGGTGGAGTAGGAGAAGGGAAAAGGTTTTAAAGCTGTGGTTAGCAGGTTCAGTGTGGGCAGTCGGGCTTTGCAGCCAAGTATACAGGAAGCACCTCTGGGGTTTGGTCGTCTCTAAGTCAAAGAATGAATGTGGAGTGGACACCCCCCACCACCTGCCACCGAGTGAATGCTGGGGGGCAGGGACAGGGGCTGTGGGCAGGGCTGTCTCCTGCTTCAGTGTGCCATGCCGGGGGCATCCATGGCCACTGAGAAATCAGTTAGCAGTTGTGTTACCAGGCCCCATACAGGGAAGGCACGTCTTTAGGATATAGAAAAAGAATAAAATAATGAAATAAAGGCGCTTCACATGAAGTGAAGAAAGTCGTGGGGCTGGGTGTTGGCCACAACTGATGCCAGTTGACGTGTCCATGTGCCGGATCGGGGTTCAGTGTCCAGCTCTGCTGCCGACCCCAGCTTCCTGCTCATGTGCACCCTGGGGGGAAGCAGGTGATGCCACCCACTTGGGAGGCCTGGATCCATCGAGTTCCAGGCTTCTGCCCTAACTGGGAGCTGGTTGGGCATTTGGAGAGTGACCCAGAGAATGGGAACACTCGCTCACTCGCTTGCTCACTCTCTTGCTGTGCTCCCCCAGCCCCAAATAGATTAAAAAACCGGGTTCTGAAATGATGAGCATTGGATCGAAGGAGAAAACGTTTGTGACTGAGAGGGCGAGAAGAGGTGTCAATGAAACACTCACCTTTCAGAGCTTCTATAGAAACAGGTTTGATTGAAACTACTCACTTTCACTTGCGTTGAAGCATGGATAGTTTACGCTATATGTGTATTGAAGTGCCTTTGGGACGCACGCTTGAACTTAATTCTGCAGGAAGGGCATTGTGAGGGTGAAGCCTGGGGCGGGCATTCAGCGCCGTGGGGAGCCACCTCTCTTATCAGAGTGACTGAGTTTGCGTCCCAGCTCTGCTTCCAGTTCTGGCCTCCTGCCACTGGCACCCTGGGAGACAGCAGGTGACAGCTCAAGTTCTCGGGTCCCTATCACCCACTTCGGGGACCCGGACTGGGTTCTGGCCTTCTCGTTTAGCCTGGGACAGTCTCAGCTGTTGCAGGCATTTTGGGGAGTGAACCAATGGGTAGAGGAGCATGCCCGCTCACTCTCTCTCTCCCTCTCTCTCTCCCTGTCTCCCTTGCCTTCTATCCTTCCCTTTCAAATACATAAATAGGAAAAAAAATCTAAATGGATAAGATGTCTCAGGGAAGGTAAAAGACCCAATTTTATGGAGAAAAAAACGTGAGGCACTTTCAGGCAGGGCCCAGCAGACTCCTGGAAGGCAAACCCCAAGTCCCGCGGATTCTCTTTACCCTCTCCTAATTAACGAGAAGGGAGCGGGGTTTCCTTTGAGAGTGCTTCCTTAGTAGCCCCGTCGGCGGTGGAGCTGTGGTGAAGCTGAGTAGGAGACCTGGTGTCCTGTTTGTCCCGCTCGCTGCCGGCCTGTTCTGACAAGCGGAAGTGAGGCCCCCGTGGCAGGTGGCGAGCACACGCTCTGTGTCATACAAACAAGTTGTTTGTGACTTTGCAAAAGGGAAACGCGGGCTTCCTATTTTAATCTAAACACTTTGAGGCAGGAACGGTATCTGTGGCATTTTTCTCAACAAAGGAAATCCTCTCCATTTCCCATCGCAATTTATTGGG